TATCTGTCTACATGATACCATGCATCCTGACCTATGATGGACTAAATCTCTGAACTGTAAGACAGCCCCAATTAAATGCCATGGGCTGGAGAGATGGCTCAGAGGTTAAGAGCAGTGACTGCTCTTACACAGCACCTGCGTTCAATTCTCAGTACTCACAAGGCAGCTCACAACTGTCTGTAACTCCAGTTCCAGGGGATCTGGCGCCCTCACACACACATGATGCAAAACACTAAAGCATAATAAAATAAAAATAGATAAAGTTTTAAAACAAACAAAAAACAGCTATTTAGAGAAACAGCTGTGTTACATCCTACTTGTATTAGGGACCAGCCAAGGAATTTGGAGGCTTGAGGCAATTCAGAATCTGATACCATCCGATCACAGAAGCCTCCAGCCCCTTCCCCACTTTGACACAGCTGCTTCCACATAGAGAGGCTCCCTGTGCACATCCTCCTGTAGAAAAGAGTATGACAGGCATATTGTTACACAACTCTGACCCCTTGGCAGTTTCGCTTCTCACCAAAAATTAATGTGCTGCTTCTAATCTCAGACATCGTAGTAGATGCTGATTGAGTGTGGCCATCATCTATCTTCCCAACGCATAGATTCCTTCTTAATGCTATGATGTCGGGTTTATAGGCCTGGAGCATGATGAATTCACCAAGGTAAATGTCACTTCTGATACCACTTGGCAGCTGGCCAGGCAACGAGTCCTGATGACACCTCCATCTCTTCAAGTCCACTTCATCCTTTCAGATTTCTTTGCTTTCTAACCAGCTGGCTCAACCAGCTGTATATTTGTCCCCTGCTTTTCTTCTGCAACTCTTTACCTAATTCTGTCTTTCTTTATGTCTCACCACTTAATCTTCCTTCTTCCTTTCTCTCCCCACCTCCCTTTTGACTTGAATGAACAGTGGAGTTGAACAATACTATAACAGAGACTGTGTGCCAAGTACTGTGTTGGGACATATACCAATCTTAGATCCTAAAGCTGGGAGTAGCAGCACACACCTGTACTCTCTACTTGGGAGATGGACACAGGACCATCAGGAGCTTAGGGTTGTCCAGAGTGACACAGGGAATTGGAGGCCAACCTGGTCTACACAAGACCCTGTCTAAAGTTTCTTTTTGTTTATAACTCCATTTCATTTTTACTCAAGAATCAATCACCTCAGAAAGAATTCATCTTGGGTATGCTAATTCCTTTGTTATTCTGGTGAAAGAGATATGGAGCAGGCAAGGAAAGCAACACATGAAGATGTCTCTTTGTGGAATAAAGCTTCTTGCTTCTCTGTTCCCCCATGTCTTTCCCGAGAGCAGAAGTTGGTCCCGAGTTTCTTTGTGCAGTGTTAGTATTCTCCATGGAAGAGATGAGCTTCTCTGTCCAGTGAGGTACTCCCCAAATCTGTGAAACCAGAATCTCCACATTTAGAAACCCTTTCAGTAATATGGAGATGTGAGTTATGATAAAGTTGGATCTGTGATCTGTGGGGTTGGAGAGATGGCTCAGCAGTTAAGAGTGCTGGCTGCTCCTATGGAGGACTCGGGATCAATTCCCAGTATTCACATGGCAGCCCACAACTGTTAACTCCAGTCCCTGGGAATCCACATCCTCTTCTTACCTCCTAGGGCACCAGGTACACACGTGATGCACAGACATATGTGCATCAAAAAACATTCATGCACATTAAAAATAAAGTAATTTTAAAAAAATAAACTGAGGTCCTAATACTGACCTATTTTTTAAAAAAGTTTGGATCCACATCCTGGAAGACCACTTGAAATTATTTTTGGTGTTGAAGTGAGGTGGAGGAAGCCTCCTCCTTCCTATTGAGCTTCAAGGAGCCTGAGAGAAGTGGAAAGGAAAGCAGTTGTTCCCAAGTGTGTCCTGGGCCCCTCATTTCTTGCTCCAGGAAATGAAGGCTGATTGGCTCCCAAACACACCTGCCAGAGTCTTGGTTACAGACAGGAGGAGTGGGACCTGACTTCTGGCCTGAGTGTGAAGATGCAGCCACCGAAAAGTTCCCGAGCAAACTAAAAGTTGAAACGTCCAGACTGGACAGGTTCAGAACCATGGACAGAAACAAGGAGATCCTGCAGGCTGAGGGTCCAGCACCATGGCCAGGGCTCTCCTCCCCTTTTGAGTCCCTCCCAGCTATTTCAGAGAAGGACCTAACTAACCTGGGCTGCAGGTTGACTGGCTCCTAACACCTGAAACAATAATTTGGTTAATGGGAGTATCATCCTGAAGCATGATGGAGGGAGGGAGGGAAGGAGGAAGGGAGGGAGGGAGGGAGGGAGGAAGAGAAAGAGGAAGGAAGGCCTTCTTCCAAGGCCAAGCATGAAACTTTATTGGACTGTGAGACCCGATTCAACACCGAAAATAATTTCCAGGGGTCTTCCAGGATGCTATCCAAGTTTATCATAACTCCCATCTCCACATTAGAAATGGCTTCTAAATTTGGAGATTCTGGCCTCATAGATGTGGGACTACCTCACTGGACAAAGAAGGTCATCTCTTCCATGGAGAATACTAACACTGCACAAGGAAACTCAGGACCAGGCCCTGATCTCGAGAAGGACATGGGGAAGCAGAGCACCAGGGAGATCTGCAGAATCTCTTCATCAGAGGTTACCTGCTCTGCAGCCTCCTGGAAGAGCAGGGTCTGCCTTGAAACAACTCCTATTAAGACCTGGCTGATTTGCATATATCTGCAAACACAAGGGCTTCTCTGCTCTGATTGTATTATATATAAATGAATTGCCCACAGGAAGAATGAGAAGGATTAATTTCCTCTTCTTGCTTCCCCCATCCCTATGGTTTCTGTCTTGAAACTCCCCCAAGTGCATGAAACAGAGTCTCCCAACAGCCATAGTGTCTTGTGAGCATTCTATGTAGCTTTATCCAGTTAACCTCATCCATTTGTTCGGCTCCTGAAAGATTCCTGTGTGGCTCAGAGGGATCCAAGGTTTTATTTTTTGTACCTAGGGTCAAAAGCTTTGGGTTGAAGTCTCTGGAGCTGTGTTAAGAAGCCATGTCTGATGCCTTGCTGACTGCCAAGGGGATAGGTCCTGGCTTTGAAAGGGGATGGGGAGGGCTGGTGGAGTGAGTACTCATTTTGAAATGAAAGGAGTCCTGGGTCTCTAAGCAGCTTCTAAAAATACCATTTCCCAGCGCTGGGGGGAGGGGGAGGGGCAACTAAGCGTGAGGAGAATGAAGATAGGAGGAAGGTGGGGGATACAAGAGCCTTTCTTCAGGTAGGTCGTATTTCAGGGACCCCCACCTAACTCTAGAAACTAGACAGAGGCCACGCCTCCTCTTGCATCCTCAGAGGGCTTCAATCTCCCACAGTGTCTCAGCCCAGCCCTTCCTGATAATATTTCCTTCCAGGAGCAAAAGAAACCAATTCCCCCCAACTTCCCTATCATTACTGTCCAGCAGCTATATCTGCAGTAAGCAATATTTTTACACACACACACACACACACACACACACAGAGAGAGAGAGAGAGAGAGAGAGAGAGAGAGAGAGAGCTCACGAGTGTGGCTTGTTTGTGAATGGCCAGTGGTCTATGTACATTTGGTGCCCAGAGGTATGTGATGTGGCAGAAAGAAGTGACTTACCCAAGTGTCTTCAGCACAGAGCATGGTGCCCAGGCTAGAGGGGCCAGGAGTACGAGTCTAAGCAAAATGTACAGGAACTGGGACCCCACAGTCAAGTGCATGGGTGGCTCACACTCACACTCCAGGCTTCTCTGACTGTTGTAGCACCTAAAGGGAGAGGGGCTCCAGCCCCCATGAAAAGCCACAAGGTGGGTAGAGCTTCCTCCCCTCAAGTTCAGTTCAAATGGTGAAGCTCAATAGCTGCTCCCTTCGATCTAGGGCCCCCAGACCTCCCAACCCCACCAAATGGTTAAACCTTCAGCTGGTACATAAGTGACCTTCATTTAATAGAGGTCGTGTCCCACGTTTCCTTGCGGCGTCTTCAGCTCCGGCCAAACTCTTCGAGGACTGCTCCGCCTCGTTCACGGGGATCTCAGATTCCCGGTGCTGCATTTCTCATCATTATTCTGGGTGGGAAGAGTGGGGTGTTCATAGGGGAACCCCATGTTGAACAGATGTGGACAGAGATTGCGGGGTGTGCTGCTGTATGTAAGGATGGCAGAAGCAAGAACCCGAGTGACGGATTGTTCGTGCAAAATCTGCCAATGCCCCCCATCTCAGCATCCACATATTTTCCCAGCCTCGGAAACGGCGTTGGTAGGGTGGGACCCTCTATCCGGCTTGACTCTCTTTCCCCAAGCAGCTCCCAGGATCGGGGTGTGTGTGTGTGTGTGTGTGTGTGTGTGTGTGTGTGTGTGTGTGTGTGTGTGTGTGTGTGTGTGTGTGATGAGGGCGGGAGAAAAAGGAGCAGGGATCGAATAATGTAACACCGAGAGCCACAAACACAGGAAGAGGTCAAGGGCTGGGAGACACCGGAGCTCCCTAGAGCTTGAGGTCAGGATATCAGACTCGGAAACCCCCTGCAAGTCCTGGGAACAAGGGTGCTCCCAAGAATAGCTAAGAGGCTGCAAGTGTCGCCCGCTTTCCTGAGGACCGCCCCTCCGTAAGCCACGCCCACAGCGCCTACTTCTCAGGATGCAGAGAGCTAAGGTTTAAGGGTCTCCAGTCCACCGACGCCAGTTTGTCTCGCTCTCCAGCAGCTCTGCTAGCTTTCAGAGATGCCCTACCCCCACGATTTGGAGATCTGCGGGACCCCTTAGTTTCCCCCTCCAGCTGGGCGGTCCGCCCCTGGCCTATGAAACTCCACCTCCTCATCCTTTGCTAGCCGGGATTGGTGGACCTCCCGCGGCGATGCCTAGCGATTGGTCCTCATGGATGATGGTGACCAGCGAGACTCCGCCTCCAGCCCTCGCTGGGGTCTGGGGGCACTGCTCAGCGGTACTGGGCTGGCGAAGCTTGAGCCACCACCGCACTGACAGCTCCGTCTGTGGACCATGGAGACTGGCGCCGGTACACACCCTCTGCGCCTGTTCATCTGCCTGATGCCACTCTGCCTGGCTCTGTTTCTGGGACCTGGACGGCCAGGGACCGCCGAGGAAGGTAAGGTGGGTTGTGCTTGGGAGCCTGAGATGCCAAAAAATAGGGAGTTGGGGGTCTAGGCTACTGGGAGAAGGAGTCTTTGGAGAGACTACTCTGTTTGGGGGCTTGAAGCAAGCGGGCAGCAGGGCGGGAAAGAACTAGAGAAAGAGGAGAGGTTGGCTAAGCGATAGAGAAGAGAGGGGTATTGAGGAGCTTATGTCTGGAGACCTAGGAGGCTGGGGAAGAAAGAGGCTGGGGACCACAGGAGCCCGAGGCAGCAGTTCAGGGACCGTTGAAACGGACAGGCTGAATGATTGGAGGTGAGAGGTGTGGGGGCAGGGAGATGAGAAGAGCAGGGAAGCCGAGGGGATGCGGCGAGACCCGAGCATGAGGCGGGATGAAGACAAATAGTGGGGGCCTAGAGGACCTTGCTGTGAACAGCCTGAGGCTGGTTGCTGCCCGAAGTGCTGATCCTGGAACTGTCCGCAGTGCTGAATTGGGATCGAGTCCACCACGCGAGGTCCGCGTTGCGGAGTATTTGGGGCGACATTAGATTCGGAGTCTTGCCTCTGCTCCCACACCTCTGGGGGCTGTACACTCAGTTGAATCCGGAGGCTACACAACCAGGTGCAGAACCCTGAGATGCTGGATCAGACTCTGCCCGCAGGGTCTGTCCTGGCGCGGGATGACAGATGCCTGCCAGTATGCAATTCCCAAGCACTGTTGGTGACAAAAACCCAGCACACTGTCAGCGGCCCTGCCCACCGTCGCAGCTGCCTCTAGGGCCAGTCTCTCTTGAAGGACCTCACCTTGGAAGCCCACCCACTTCCTTACCACTCTATCGAAGTCATTTTCTGAGATTTGGGGATGGCCTGACTTTCTGTGTTTAAGCATAAGGCTCTGCTATGCAGACCCGGGCTTCTCTGATGAAATGCTGCTGACCTGTCACATCCTGAAGGAATAAAGTGACTCCAAGCTTTTCTGGTGGAGAGGAACTGGAGAGGGTCATGGATGCTATGTGAAAGGGCCCATGACATTCTTTCAAAGGTGATAGAGGTGGCAACCTCTGGGAAAGGGGCTGGGTAAAGAAGAAGAAAAATTCTGGTGTTTCCTCCTGCTAAGTAGCCTTTTCTACTTTATTTTCGCCAGAGGCCCCGGGAGGCAAATGAAAAAGGTTTCTGTCTCTTCCAGGACTGGTGAACTGACCTCAGATCTGAGTGGATTTGGGGTGCACCTGAGAGTTAGTTCCCAGATCCACTGCTAGTTGACAGTTAAATATAATTTGGGGGAGCTGGGGGAGGGTGAAGAGGGTCACTGACTTCTATCCTTAATGTGAAAGCTGACCTTAGAGTATTTGCCATGACTCTGTGGGAGGTAGAAATAACACTTCAACAATAACAGCCAGGCCCTAACCACCCCTGGAACTTGTTAATGTTACCTTAAGTGGTTATATATATGTAAAAAGATGGCAGGGTGGGTGTGAGTGGGGATTGGACATGAAGAGGTGAATTTGGATTGGGCGAATGGTTCCAGTGCAAACACAATGGGCCTCAGAGGAGAAAGCAACATGGGCACAGAAACAGAGGTTGAAGTCAGGCACTGAAGATGGGAGAGAGGGCACAAGCCATTAAGTTTGTGGCTTGGAATGATACAGATAATCTTCATTAATCAGCGTGGCTAGGGGCACTTGAGCTACTCCCATCTTCATGAGTTTTGTTTTGTTCTCCATCGTCTCCTGTAGCTATGTGTGGTAAACCCAGCAATGGCTCTCACTCTTCTCATCTGATTGTGGCTTTCTGATGTCTGTGTTTTCCCCTCTCCTTAGTTATCCTCCTGGACTCCAAAGCCTCCCAGGCTGAATTGGGTTGGACTGCACTGCCAAGTAATGGGGTAGGTGTTAAACTGTCACTCTATCCCAAGGGTCCTCTAGTAGACCAAGACTCAGTCCCTTTAGCACCCTGTGATCACCTAGGATCAAAATGTACCACAGAAACTCTCCACCCACGCTCATGTAGGCAACCTTAACTGTAGGCCATACACACAAAGATATGTGAGTGGGAGGGGGACTTGCTGGGGGAAAGTGCTTTGGTGTGGGGGGAGGAGATAAGAGAGAATAATAGGGAGATATGGCTAAAGCACATTATACATTGTGAAATTGTGAAGGAATTTGAAATTTTCCATTTTTATTTGTTTATTCACTTGTTGTGTTTATGTATGTGTGTATATGTGTTGGTGCCATGGTGTGTGCATGTGTACGTCAGCACCACTGGAGAGAGTCCATTCTCTCCACATACCATGTGGGGCCTGGGGATCAAACTCAGGTCAGACTTGATGGCAAGTGCCTTTACCCACCGAGGCATCTCAGCTGCCCCAGGAAACAACTTTTGTTTTGTTTTGTCTTTGGACACAGGGTTTCTCTGTGTAGCCCTCTGTAGACCAGGCTGGCCTCAAAATCCTAGAAATCCACTTGCCTCTGCTTCTTGAGTGCTGGGTAGTGGTGTGCCATCACTGCCTGGCCCCATGAGAGCATTTCTAAAGACATGACGCAGAGTTCGTATTCTCCAGAACCCTTGGTGTCAAGCCAGAGTGGCTCTACTAGAAAACCAGGGCTTCAGTTAGTCAAATAAATAAATGAGAGAACTGGCTGTGTCTAGGAACAGAAGTGTAAAGTGGACGGGACATTGTTGGGCATTACTTCACATACAATGGATCTCAAAGTAGCTATTAATTATTGACAGAGTAAGCAAAGTGGGGGTGGGACGAGGTGGAAAGGTCACTGAACAGAGTTGAGTGACTCTAGTTCCACCCCTATCTCCGTCATTAACTCACTGTGCCCTTCCAGTCAAGTGGCTCTCTCTTTGTATCCTCAGTTTCCTCATCCACAAATAAAGATTGTGGCCAGGTGATGGTGGCAGGCTGATCTCTGTGAGTTCGAGGCCAATCTGGCTTCAAGTGCAAGTTCCAGGACAGGCTCCAAAGCTATACAGAGAAAGCCTGTTTCGAAAAACCAAAGTAAATAAATAAATAGAAAAGAGCAAGCCAGGAATGATAGCTCATGTTTGTAATCCTAGCATTCTGGGGCTTGAGAAGGAAAATTGATGTGGGTTCAAGGCCAGCCTAGGATATACAGTGAGATCAAGGCCAACATGGGCTATGGAATGAGAGCCTGTCTCAAAAAAAAAAAAAAAAAAATGTCAGGCAGTGGTGACACACACCTTTAATCCCATCACTCAGGAGACAGAGGCAGGCAGATTTCTGTGAGCTCAAGTCCAGCCTGGTCTACAGAGTGAGTTCCAGGACAGGTTCCAAAGCTTCACAGAGAACCCCTGTCTCAGAAAACCAAAATCCAAAACAAAACAAAACAACAACAACAACAAAAAAAAAAAAAAAAAAAAGGAAAAAACTATTAGCAGCCTCGTACCACAGGCCTGTAAGCCTAGTTACTCTGGAAGCTGAGTCAGGAGGACTTTAAGTTCAGCTTATCTGATCGACTAGAGTGAGTTCAAAGCCAACTTGGACAACTTAGTTGATGCATTATCAAAATAAAAAGTGAGGTCTATGGTAGAGTGCTTGTCCAGAAAGTCCAGGGATCTAGGTTCGATCCCCAGTACCGGGAAGAAAATGGATTTGACTCGTTCATTTCCAAAGTGTCTCTTCTCCTCTTCCTGTGTTTTGTCACATTTAGGGGCTTGTGTGGTAGGGGGCGGGAAGGCAGATGTGGAAAAAGGTGGAGAAGGGCTAGTGCTTAAGCTCCAGGCTCTAAGGTGCCTGTCCACCTCTGTACTGTTGCCTCAGTGGGAGGAGATTAGTGGCGTGGACGAACATGACCGTCCCATTCGCACGTACCAAGTATGCAACGTGCTGGAGCCCAACCAGGACAACTGGCTGCAGACTGGCTGGATCAGCCGCGGCCGTGGGCAGCGCATCTTCGTGGAACTGCAGTTCACGCTGCGTGACTGCAGCAGCATCCCTGGCGCCGCAGGCACCTGCAAAGAGACCTTCAACGCTTACTATCTGGAAACCGAGGCCGACCTGGGACGCGGGCGTCCCCGCCTAGGAGGCAACAGACCCCGCAAGATTGACACTATTGCAGCTGATGAGAGCTTCACACAGGGTGACCTAGGGGAACGCAAGATGAAGCTGAACACAGAGGTGCGTGAGATCGGCCCCCTCAGCCGTCAAGGCTTCCACCTGGCTTTCCAGGATGTGGGTGCATGCGTGGCACTGGTCTCGGTTCGTGTCTACTACAAGCAGTGCCGTGCCACTGTGCGGGGCCTGGCCGCCTTCCCCGCCACAGCAGCTGAGAGTGCCTTCTCCACGCTGGTAGAAGTGACTGGAACATGTGTGTCCCACTCAGAAGGGGAGCCTGGCAGTCCTCCCCGCATGCACTGTGGCGCTGATGGCGAGTGGTTGGTGCCCGTGGGCCGTTGCAGCTGCAGTGCAGGATTCCAGGAACGTGGTGACATCTGTGAAGGTATCCAGGGCACCTGGAGGGATGGGATGGAGACATAGTTTGCAGGTGGCAGGAGAGGGTGTGCCATTGATGATGAAGAAGCAGGGGCGGAAGTGGAGAAGCCGCAGGAGGAGCTGGGAGTCAAGACCTCTTGTGCAGTTTCTAGTGCACAAGACCGGCTTAGCCCAGACCTACTGAAAGAGGTGAATCCGATCCCATGTAAGGGTATATTAGGAACCAGTGCTAGTGACATAGGCCTGCAGAATCCAGCTCTCAGATGCTGAGTCAGGAAGATTGTGAGTTCAAAGACATACTGGGCTACATGATAAGATGCTGTCTTAAAGAAACAAACAAACAACAAAAACTCCCACAAAACAAAATGTAGATGTCTGTATTTCAGGCAACATGATAGGTTCCCATTACCAAAGAGATGAGTTAGGAAATGGGCAGTCGGGATTGGAATTCAGGTTTGCCCGGATCTGGGAACCTATTGCTCCACCATGCCCCCTTCGTGCATAGGAAAAAAACTCCACAGCAGTCCTGACCTCAGGTTAGCATTACAGGAACTTCACTTTTGACCATATTCGAGTGAGGCTGTTGGGGGCATCTCAGACAGCTCAAGAGTGGCAGCTTGCACAAGATGGTCCCTAAGATCCCACTCAGCTTTCTGAAGTAGAATCACTGTGTCACTGGGGGTGTTTTCTGAGTCCCTGGGTCTGTGGCTTCAAAGCAGCAGGATAGGGTGGGCTCTAGAATGTGTGCATTTAGTCAGAAAATTCAAAGGATGTATTTCCTCTGTGTGTGTGCTCGTGGATTTGCAGTGTGTGTGTGTGTGTGTGTGTGTGTGTGTAAGAGAGACAGAGAGAGAGCACTTGTGAGTGCCACTGAGTACAAGAGGAAGTCAGAGGATAACCCATGGGAAATGGGAATCATCCTTCCACCATGGGTTCTGGCATTGAATTCAGATGGTCAAGCTGGACAGCAGCTGCCCTTTCACACTGAGCCATTCATTACTAAAGCACACACCTTCTAAAGCAGGTCTTTTTCTGGGCAACGAATCAGACACAGCCCCAGCTCTTGAAAAGCTCACATCTACATGGTAAGGGGCAAAGATTTATTTTTTGAATCATATGTAAGAGATACGTGAGGCTGGAGAGATGGCTCAGGGGCTAAGAGCACTGGCTGCTCTTCCAAAGGACCTGGGTTCAGTTCTCAGCGCCCACCTGAAACTCCAGTGCCAAGGGTTCTGACACCCTCTTCTGCCAGGCTCACATGTGGTATGCAGACAAAAATCCATACACATAAGTCAAAATAAACATTAAAAAAAGAAAGTAGTGTGTGCTATAAAGGGGCTACAGAATGGTGAGCCACAGAGGAAGCGAGTAAGATTGATGTTGTCATTTCACTATGCTATGATAAAACACTGACCGAAAACAAGCTGAGGGGAGAAAGGGTTTATTTCCATTTACAGTGAAGTTCATCACTGAGGAAAGTCAGGGAAGGAGCTCAAAGCAAAAATCATGGAGGAAGCCTGCTTTCTGGTTCAAATGTTCAGCTAGCTTTTTTATACAGCCCAGAGCAGTCTGACCAGGGAATGGTGCCTCCCATTGTGGGCTGGGTCCTCCTACATCAAGACAGTGCCTCCCAGACATCCCACAGGCCAATCTGATTTGCTCATTCAATCCATTCAGATGAGCTGAGGATACTAGCCGTGCTGTACAGTTCTTATTATCTGTGTGGATAAATGAGACCTTCTCTGGGAAACTGTGATTAACATGAAAGAAGCAAGAACCTGAGCTCTTCCAAGCTCAGGGACATAGATATGTATATGGGTGTGTTTCTGAGCTCAGGCATTAATTTCAGCAGCCCCAGGGTCCATTGCGGTCCATGGGATGTGACAAGTGCTTAGTGGAAATGTATTGAATGACCATGTGTTTTAGTTTCCTTTCTGCTCCTATGACAAAATAGCCTGACAAAAACAACTTAGGAGAGAAAGGGTTTATTTGGCTTATAATTCTATGTTATGTATGGTCTATCGTGGAGAGGAAGTCACAGAGGCAGATTCCTGAGAGAACTGGTCACATCATATACAGTCAAGGGCAGAGAACAATAAACTGATGCGTGTTCGATAGTGCTCTTTTGGCTTCCTCCATCCTATACAGTCCAGGACACCTGCTCAGGGAACACCCTTAATACTGGAGAGGCTGAGGCAGGCAGATCTCTATGCGTTCAAGGCCAGCCTGTTCTACACAGTGAGTTCCAGGATAGCCCAGATAGGGCTTTATAAACAGAACCTGTCTCAAAAACAAAGATAGGTTTTCCTACTTCAAATAACTCAGTCAAGAAATCCACCCACAGACATTCTCAGAGGCTAACCTTATTCTACACAGTTCCTTACAGATGTGTCAAGATACCAAGTGACAGTCGATGCTAGACCATCACACCATGGGTGTATGACATCCACAGAGATCCCAGTTGTGAGGACGGGGGGCGGGGGACAGCGCGGGTTTCCAAAGGAAGGGAGGTTTTCCTTCCTGGTGGCTGAGACACTCTGCAGAGGCATGGTGACAGAAAGGAACATAGTGGTTGGTATTAAATAAGTAACCCAGCATGGTTACTGCAGAGGGCACGTGGGAGTGTGAGAAGTGATGAGGGGCGGGGCCATGAGAGAATGATGAAATAGACTTCATGCTTTAGGCCAGCGAGGAGGCAAGCCAACATTTTCAGATTTATATTTTCAAAAGACCACTCAATACACCAATAGCAAAGAAAGGATCAGGTTGGGAAGCCGTGGAGGACAGAAGGGAGGAAGGAAGGTGGCACAATAGGCCAGGAGGCAGACTGTGAGCTGTGAACTGAAGTGGTAGCAGCTGTCCTTAAGGGATGAAGATGGATGTGATGGGAGGTGGGGCGGGATGCTGAATGCCAGTTATCTCAGCACCCAGGAGGTGGAGGCGGGAAGAACAGGGTTCAAGGCTATTCTCTGCCACATAGTGAATTTGATGCTAGCCTAGGCTACATGAGACCCAATCTCAAAAAGAAACAAAGAAAAAAAAAAATCCAAAGAGGCAAGGTGACTTAGCAGGCAAAAACACTTGCTGTGCATCCTTTACCCAGCAAAAATAATTTTCTAAAAGCGTATGGAGCACATCTTTAACCCAGGGGTTCTCAACCTTCCTAATGCTACAACCCTTTAATACAGCTCCTCATGTTGTGGTGACCCCAAACCATAAAATTATTTTCATTGCTACTTCACAACTGTAATTTTGAAACTGTTATGAATCATAATGTAAATATTTTTGGAGATAGTGGTTTACCAAAGGGATTGTGAGCCACAGGTCGAGAACCACTGCTTTAATCCTAGCACTTGGGCAGCAGAGGGAGGCAGACAACTGTGAGTTCCAGGATAGCCTGCTTCACATAGTGAGTTCTAGGACAGTCAGGGCTCTATAATAAACCCTGTATAAAAATAAAGAGATTGGAGGAGGCATGCTGAGAGGGTAAAGGGTAGAAAGGAGAAGGAGATGGTGTGGTGGTTCAGGGAGATGAGTAGTATTCAGGAGATATCGACCTACAGCATAGTGAGCACTCAGGCATGTCAAGGGTTGGATAGTGTTCACTTGGTCTTGGCAAGAATAACTTTAGTGTAGTAATGGAGAGAACAGGCTGCAATCAGCTGAACAATAAAGAGCCCTGAGGATCTCTTCAAAGAATCTAGAAGTCTAGTGATCCCAGATAGCTCAGTTGGTAGAGCATCAAACTTAGCAATGTGACTCGGTTGGAAGAATATTACTCAGTAAGCATCCACAAAGCTGGGTTCCATCCCAGTACCACAGAAACCTGGCATGACTATGATGGCACATGCCTCTAATCCCAACACTCAGCAGGTGGAGGCAAGAGGGTCAGACGTTCAGGGCTATCCTTAGCATGGTGAGTGTGAGGTTAACCTAAGCTATGAGAGACCCCCTACACACACACACAAGCACAATTGCTAAGAAAGACTGTAGAAGCCTGAATTTGCAGGGAGAAGGGACAGCATCTTCAGCAGGATGTTGGGTTGATAGGATCTTTGTGTATGAGTGTATTGTTTGAACAGAGAGAGGGCTTTTATTGCAAACCAGGGACACTTGTGTATATGCTGGGAAGTGGGGGAGAGCCAGTGGCATACAAAATGTATGTGGGGAACAATCTGTTCAAAAGGAAGGAGTGTTTTATTACTGACGCAGGTTAAAATTGCTGACGCATGTTGCTAATAAAAAGCAGGACCACTTTTAGTTGGTTTTAGGATTGTTTTAAAATAGTCTATAGTCAGAGCCTTTATGCCTGCATGGAAATGGACTACTTTTGTGCTCCGCCCACTAGGGACATCACTGGAAAGAGGCAGTAGAGAGGGGGTTGCAAAGACCAGTAGGGGAGGTGACAGATGGAATGTTGACTTTGGGGGAGGAGGGCTTGAAAGGCAAGGATCCAGAGTGGAGATGGCAAGTTGTCTTTAAACAGAGGGTAGCTTGTCCCCACCTTTCAGACTGCAGGAGAGGAGATGTGGTTTCCATAGCCAGATGTTGGGAAGAATTACCAACTCTCGGCCTCTCTCTGTTCTCTGCCAGTTGTGGAGGCGTCTGTGATGAGGCGGAGGCAGTCAGATTCCTGTCTACTTTATGGTGTATCTTTAGAGCCTAGAAGAACACCTGGCTCATAACAGATGATAAAACTGTGGGTTCTCTGGCTTGTGTCATGCTCCCCCTCCTTGGGCTGAGACCAGATAAAAGTCACCTGTAATGGTGTCACCTTTGCCCAGGACAGTGAGGGAGCTGAGGAAAATCTAGGGCAAACTTCCCAAGGGAGATGCTGTTGGAAGAGGACTTTGGAAAACTCAGTGGCCACGGGGCAGAGTGTGCGGGACATCACCATCAGGAGCCAGAAGCTCTCTATTATGTTCAGTGGGCATAGTGGGGGCTGCTGGGAGGGTTAGGAAGGGGACAGAAGTGGTTAGGCTTGCACTGGTACCTTCAGACAGTCCCATTGCCTCTTGTAGCTAAGTGAACCCGTTCTCAAAGCTAGAGGAGGGCACAGAGTTATGATCTCCTCACTCTTTCCTTTCTTTAGTGACCTTCAGTTTTGGTCCTGTTCTAGCCACCGTCGGACTCCATGAAATTCAGCTTCCCTTCAAGGGACATGTCAGGTCTTCTGGTAACTTGTCAAAGTCTTTTGTGGGTCTGTCTGCTCACTGAGACTGTACAAATTACTGGCACCCCTGGTGGGGTCCCACAGGTGACTCTACACAGAGCACCCAACTTTAGGCCCCTCCTATGAATAGCTTTCATTTTCTGGTAGCAAAGGGGCAAGAAAGGGGAGGACTTCCCCATCGTAAGGTATGTGAGCAAAGCTGATGAAAAAGTCTCTGCAGAGCAAGGCCAATGGGAGTTGAACTAGATGCTCTCCGATTTTCTGGCGGTGACATTGAAAAGAGGAAGGTGCTAGCTCTCAGGAAGTCTGCCTTTCAACACATCACTGTCTAGATAGTGCCTCTCCAAGTAGGGAGGGCCACAATTGCCTGTGATGAGCCATGATAGTCACAGCTAGGAGAACAACCCTCTTCCACTCAGAGCTAGGCACCCTTACATCCCTCCTAATACCCCGAGACTTGTACATAGGGTACTTGTCCAGGCCCTCACCCCTCTATTTCACCCCTCAGTCAGCAGACTGTGATCACAATTCCCACCAGGCTAATGATTTCCTCAACGCAGAGTGGCAAAGCCAATACTACACCAGGCTTTCACGGCTTGGCTTTGACCATGACCACACCCATAGACCCACAGGGGCTTTTGTGCTAAAACAATGGTTCTCAACTTTCCTAATGCTGCGATCCTTTAATACAGTTCTTCATGTTCTGGTGGGGGGGGGCAACCATAAAATTATTTTTGTTGCTACTTCATAACTGTAATCTTGCTATAGTTATGAATCATAATGTAAATATCTGTGTTTTCCAGTAGTCTCCAGCTGCCGCTGTGAAAGAGTAGTTTGACTCCCAAGAGGCCACACCCATAGGTTGAGAACCACTGTGCTAAAGGAAAGGGGCTGCTGGGTCCCCTCTCCCCAGGCATGCCACAGGGGACTCTGGGCAAGATGGCATTCTCCAAGCCCAAGCCTTTCAAACAGTACAATGGTTCAGCTCTGTCTTCCTTCCTGCGGTTGTTCTGTCTTCTTCGGTGCAGCCTTCTACCCTCAGCTAGACTAGAGGGAAGAGCCAGAGATGACAGAGCACAGTAGAGAGCAGGGGCCAGGAGCACTGCCCCAACCTGGACTGAGACCCTTTTAAATGGACATTTAGGGCAGGGAGATGGCTCAGTGGGTAAAAGTGCTTGCTGTGGAGCCTGAAGACCCCAGTTGAGATGCCACATAAAAGCTAGGCCTGACAGAGCTTGTCTGTAACCTCAGCACAGGGAGGGGGGAACAAATACCAGGGGCCGATTCCGAGAGGGACGCCAGCTCAAAAAGGAAATTGCACAATGACAGAGAAACGCACTTGACATGGACCTCTGGTTTCTACATGTTCACAGATGGCCATGTACATCCATGCCCTACACACACAAAATAAACAAACAAAATAGGTGTTCAGAGTATGGTCATGTCTGTAATCCTAGCACTCAGGAGAGGCAGGATGCACAGAACTTGAAGGTCAATCCTCAGCTACACTGTCAGTTGGAGGCTAGCTTGGGTTGCATGAGATCCCGCCTCAATCAATCAGTCAGTACGTGCTCATATTTTCCCTCTTGGGGCCTGAGAGGAAGAAACACTATTGTTGTGTCTATCAATGAAACAGCAGTCCACACAGAAGTGGATCATATCAGTGTTTTATCTCAGGAAGTCCTCCAACAATCTTGCTGAGGCAGCTAGTCTATACCAGGTTCAGAAAGATTAACCAGCATCCCAAGACCACACAGCAAGTAAGTGGGTGATGCGACTCATCGATGAGCTGGGTTCAGTCTGATCTTAGGCACTGTGATCTAGGTTAGGGGATAGGCACTGTGATCTGGGTTAGGGGAGCAGAGGCAAGGGCTGCAAGACTCCTGAGTAGTGTTGGATTAGAACTAGTCTAGGAAGCCACAAGTCCAGCTTTGCTTCCAAACCGGAGTCCACCGTGTGAGTTGAAAAAGACTTAGGATGTTACTAAGCCCAATGGACAGTAGTAGGAGAGTGAACTTGGACACTGGTGGGCGCATGTGTGTCTGTCTGTGGGAGTGTGTGTCTGTCCCTGAGTAACAGGACTAGCCCTTGGAGGCCTTGCCCTTCTTTTCTCTTGTCCACATCGTCTGCACCTTTGACCTCAGAGCAGTGTTGTCCTGGCTCTGAAAGGGGGCAGGCTGGGGTGGAAACCCACTAACCGTGGGGCACTGGGCAGCTTAACCTCTCCCAGCCTCATTTTCCTCTTTTCAACCCTGGAGATGAAGCCAAATGTATGAACAGAAGTGAATTATGTCACCATCCCCTGCACACAAGCATTTGTCAAGGGCGGGGTTAGACTGGGCTAAGAGTTGTCACCCCTACCCTAGTCCAGGAAAAACAGGAGTGTAGGGTGGGGCGTGGTCGGGGGAAGACTCCTCACCAGTCCCTTCCCACAGCTTGTCCCCCAGGGTTTTTCAAGATGTCCCCAAGGCGGCCCCTCTGCTCACCGTGCCCGGAGCACAGCCTGGCTCTGGAGAACGCCTCTACATTCTGTGTGTGTCAGGAAACCTATGCTCGCTCGCCCACCGACCCGCCCTCAGCCTCCTGTACCCGTGAGTGCCCCTCCTGACTGGCGGTGGGGAGGGGGTGAGATGGCGGGGGGAATTAGACTGGCAGGGCAAAAGGGGAAGCCTTGGGTGGGTCTGGACACCCGGCCTGGGGGAACCCAGAAGGATGGAGATGGGGGTCAAGATTCTCTGTGGGTGGCCATCTCCCCACTCCCCTTGCCTCTCTTTGGGCCTGGCTGGGACGTCCCTCCTCTCTTTCAAGCCCTCTGTTCCAGGTGACCATGTCCCTATCCCAGTCCTCTCGATGGTCACCATGCCCTCGTTTCGGTCCCTGGCTGCTTCCCCCACGTTCCCCATCAAGGGCTGCCGGCTTGCATAACTGCTACCCATGCAGGGTGGCCGTGCCCTGAGCCCCTGCACCCCGTGCGCTTCCGTCCCCTCCCGGCTCCACTCAGCGCCGCCCCATGTCGCAGGGCCACCGTCAGCGCCACGGGACTTGCAGTACAGCTTGAGCCGCTCCCCACTGGCGCTGCGACTGCGGTGGCTGCCGCCTGCGGACTCCGGCGGTCGTTCCGACGTCACCTACTCGTTGCTGTGCCTGCTCTGCGGCCGCGACGGCCCACCGGGAGCATGCCAACCCTGCGGGCCACGCGTGGCCTTCGTCCCGCGCCAGGCAGGGCTGCGGGAACGCGCCGCCACGCTGCTGCACCTGCGGCCGGGCGCGCGCTACACCGTGCGCGTGGCCGCGCTCAACGGTGTCTCAGGACCTGAGGCTGCTGCGGAAGCCACCTACGCGCAGGTCACTGTGTCCACCGGACCCGGGGGTAAGGCCGCGCGCCCCAGTGGAGACCGTCCCCCACCCCAAGCGCAGTTCCCGGTATGCATCCCAAGTCATTCAGGAACCCACGTGACCACACACCCCTGACCCAGGTGGCGCCAGTGTGTCCCCTTCTCCCCCACCCCCACCCTTTTGCAGACTTGGCCACCCGCATCCCGGGCCCTTGAAGGATCAGGGACGCAGGCCAGGTCAGAACTCAGGCGACAGAGTGGTCGCTTTATCCATTTCTGAGTCTGGAGTGGGATGAAAACCACCTTTGATACCATACCCTCCGCATCCTTGACATTTACTTCTGATTTGTCTCTCCTCTGGTGCACACTTTCAAGTAATCCCTCGAGTGCCCTTTGTATGATGGGTAAGCTGGCACTGTGGCTTCTGAGTCTTTCCTATCTGATTGGTGTGTGACCCTTCTTCCCCGTCTTCTGTGACCCTACCCTGTCACTTGGGTTTCCAGCAAGGCTTGGGATGATTTTCATTCTTTTGTAAGAGCTTTGGGATATGGATGTCCACGCACTAGGGTGTTTGAATATTTTCTTAGCCTGCTGTTGGAAATGGAAACGTAACCATTATGGATTTTCTTTCACTTAGTCTGGCTGGAGCACAGTAGGCCCTTTGATCCTTACTTTCCTTTTTCATTTTTGGGAAAGTTTTCTTTGGCAGCTGCATTGAGTAGAGCTCCCACTGTATCTCTTAAAGTGATCTCTAAGCCTTAGGTTGTACATCCATTTTCTGATTCTCGCATCTTGTCACTTCCTTTATCATTTTTAGCTCTTAATCCCTTTCCTAGGACTGTTGAGAGAGATTTTCCAATCTACCTGGTTTTCTGGGACACTTCTGTTCTTTATTATCTCTATTGAGATTTAACCCTTGCTGTTGCGTTCACATTTTTAACAATTCAAAGCTTGGAAAAGTAGTTTGATGATGCAGTTTTTGCCTAGCATGCTTGAGGCACTGGGTTTGATCACCAGTACCAAAGAAGAGAGGAGGGAGGAAGGGAGAGAAGGAAGAAAAGGTAGGAGGGAGAGGCAGGAGGAAAGAAGGAAGGGAGGAAGGAAGGGAGGGAGGGAGAGAGGAAGGAAGGGAGGAAGGAAGGGAGCACGAAAGAAAGAAAGACAGAGGCACATCTGTAATCCCAGCACTTGGAAAGTGGAGACAAGAGGATCAGAAGTTCAAGGTCATTCTCAGCTACATAGTGAATCTGAGCTCAGCCTGAGCTACATGAGACTTTGTCTCAAAGAATAAAAGTATGGTCAGGTAGCTGATCTGTGGTGGCTCATATCTTTAATCCTAGCCCTCAGGAGGCAGAGGCCGGCAAATCTCTGTGAGTTCCAGGCCAGCCTGGTCTACAAAGCTACACAGAGAAACCCTGCCTTGAAAAACAAACAAAACAAAACAAAAAGATATGGTCAGGCATGGTGGTATATGCCTTTAATCCTAGCATGTGAGAGGCAGAGACAGGCAGATCTCTGTGAGTTTGAGGCCAGCCTGGTCTACACAAAAAGCCAAAAAAAGTAAGTATTGTCGTAACTTTTTCTACTCACAACTATTTCTATAAAGCTCTTTTAATATATATTATGTATATGCAGCCTTTATTTTTCATTATTTTATATTTATGGGTGTTTTGCCTGCATGCATGCCTGAATACCATGTTCATGCTTGGTAGTAGAAGAGGGTACTGAATCCCGTGGGACTGGAGTTAAAGACAGTTGTGAGCTGCCATATGTGTGCTGGGAATGGAAGCCAGGTCCTCTAGAAGAGCAGCCAGTACTCTTAACCACTGAGCCATCTCTAGCCCTAGGGTTTAATGCAGCCAAGACTGGCCTCACATTCACTGTATAGTTAAGGATGATCTTGAGTTGTTCCAGTCTCTATCTCCCAAGTACTGGAATTTTAGGGGTGGCCCAGTTTATATTGTGCTAGGAAGAAAATTAGGGTTTCCTGCATGCTAGATAAATATCCCACCAATTGAGACACATCCAGCCCCCACAACTCTTTAGTGAGTCAAGGTTTCACTATGCAGTCCTGGCTAGCCTAGAATTTGTCATGTAAATCAGGCTGGCTTCAGACTCAAAGAAATCCTCTTACCACTACTTCTTGAGTGCTGGGATGAAAGTTTTGTGCCATTATGCCTTTAAGAAATACTTATTTAATTTTAAATGTATGTGCATGTGTGTGCCTGAATGCATTTATATGCATCATATGCATTCACATGCATGGAGGGGCCTGCAGGGGCCAGAGTGTGTCTGATCCCTTGGAACTGCATCATCTGTAGCTGTGAGACACCTGATGTTAGTGCCTTAAACACCCTTAACCACTGAGCAGCTGCTCCAACCACCATGTCTACAAGGCCATACATATCTTTTACTTTTTATACTTTTTAGCCTAGACTTTTTTTTTTTTTTTTTTTTTTTTTTTGAGACAGGGTTTCTCTGTGTAGATTTGGAGCTTGTCCTGGGACTTGACGATTTGTAGACCAGTCTGGCATCAAACTCAGAAATCTGCATGCTTCTACCTCCAGAATGCTGGGACTAAAGGCCGCCACCACTTGGCTTTTTTTTTTTTTTTTTTTTAAGATTTACTTATTTATTATATATACAGTGTTCTAACTGTATGTTTGCCTTTGTGCCAAAAGAGGACACCAGATCTTATAGATGGTTGTGAGTCACCATGTGTTTGCTGGGAATTGAACTCAGGACCTTTGGAAGAGCAGAGATAGAGTCTGAACTATATCTAGCCCAGCCCAGGCTTGTCATAAATTCATCGCAATCCTCCTGCTTCAGGTGCTAGGAGAGTACAGGTGTGATTACCAGCCAGTTGCTGTGACTCTGATACTTTATTTCTTTGGTTTTTTTTTTTTGGTCTGAGTAGCCCTGGCTGTCCTGGAACTTGCTCTGTAGACTAGGCTGGTCCCAAACTCAGAGATCCAACTGCCTGGGATCAAAGCTGTGCACCACTAAAGGCAAGAAACAAACCTCTCTTAGAACCTCTTCTCTTAGCTAAAGTCTTTTATGGGCTAGAACAGAAGTAAACCCAACCCTAGACCAATAGACAGTTACAGGGAACAAATGTGCACTAATATCACAGAGCAGCCATGATTGACCTACCTGCGTATCCCCCAATCAAAATCAGAACTCAGTCAATAGGGCAAAGCACAGTTGCTTATAGGGACTCTAGAAGCTTCTCTGTGGCCCGCTAGGCCCTGGTCATGCATAATCTACAGCTGGGCCCCTGGGGCTCAGGCTGAGGTTTTAGTTTGATTCTTGGGATTTTTTTTTTTTTTTTGAGTGTGTGTATATGATTGAGTGTGTGTGTGTGTGTGTGTGTGTGTGTATGTGTGTGTGTATGATACGTGAAGATTAGAGGATACCATCTAGTGTCCATCCTAACTGTCCAGAAAGCTTCTCCTACCAAAGTGTTACATGATTTCTGGGGATTTGAACTCATATTCCCATGCTTGTATGGCAGGCACTTTATCCACTGAACCATTTTACCAGTCCTTCATTCTCAGGGTCTGTCAACCTTTCATCCAATGTATCTCTGGGGGGGGGGGGCGCGAAGTGGAACCATGTCCTCCTGTGGATCCCCTGGCCATCCGATGCTCTTGACTAGAAAGTTCAAAGGTGACATGTCTTGCCTCTCCCTATCTCTGCCCCCATCTGGATCTACAAAAGCTTTTCCACCTCCTAGGAAGCCTTCTTTCACTTTCTATGCCACTTCCAAGTGGAATTCAGCCTGAGGCGCTGCTGGGGGCAGGGAGGGTACTCGCCCTAGAAGCAGCTGTGTAAAGGAGTGACAGGCTGCTATTGTCCAGCTCACAAAGACATTGCTTTTTTCAAAGGGTCAGGCCCTGGGGAAAGACTAAAGGATTTTTCCAGTTATTTTTAGGACACGAGGCAGTACTGCACTGTGGGTAGTGTAGCCTGGGGTTCACTACAGTCATGTGGGTCCATTCAGTCCCACTGGCTTTACAGAGGTTAAAAATATGATACTCCTTCCCTGTCCCCTATTCTAGCAATCAGCTGTCAACTGTGGGGTTTCAGCTCCTTCTTATTCATAGTCATCACTGGAATTTAAGAGAGCAGAGAAGGCCAGCTGGACACGTGTACTGTATGAGACCAGAAGTCTTATTGAAACCCTGGTCAAAGGGCAGACTGTGTGCCATCTCCATTTCTGCCCTTTGTTACCTGCTATCTATTTTTCCCAACTCCCTGGTATCCTGGAATCATGCTACTTCTTACACCAGTTCGAGGACCTCTTGCCAGCACAGGACATTGCTGGTTACCAGTCTCTGACTGGTGAACTTGACCAAGCCCTTGACTGCCTCAACCAAAGCCCTTCATAATGCTACTCTTCCTGTTGTGAGGTTGGTTCTCTGAGAGTCCTTTGCGAACTCTTTGTAGGGTTCTCCATGTTAAGATCTTGTCACTCCAGAGCAAAGGTACCTTTGCTTCATCCCAATCTGGGCGTCTTTTATTTGTTTTTCTTGTCTGGTTGCTCGGGTAGTGTTAGGCACTGTCGTAGCTAGAAGCAGAGCAAGTGGGCATCCTGCTCTTTCTCCAGACAGGAAAGAGAAAGTTTCCAGTTTCCCTTCTTGAATGTGATATTCTCTGTGGGCTTCACACGTCTTTTCTCATCATGTTGGGGTGACTTCCTTGTAATATTCGCCCGCCTGCGGCCATACCACGGGGAACAAGCCAATCTCAGCTACACTCAGAAGCGCTGAAGGATTAGAAGCTAGCACGATGAGGGAGACTGGGTGGAGGGAAGGTAAGCAGGGCTTTCCCTCCCACTAGACAATAAAGGTGGACAAGGCTTGGTCAGGGAATCCTTCTCCTTAAGCCTCTGGTTCAACACTGCCCCTCAGGCCCCCTCTACAGTCCCCATCGCCAACCATAGGCCACGCCCACATCTACAATGCTCCCAAGAGTATGCCCCGCCCCTCCTACCTTCACCCTGATCTTGCGGGCAGCGGGTCCTACTCCGCTTACTTTCAGCACCCTGGGAGGAGGATGAGATCCGCAGGGACCGCGTGGAGCCCCAGAGCGTGTCCTTGTCATGGCGGGAGCCTGTCCCTGCTGGAGCTCCCGGAGTCAATGGCACAGAGTATGAGATCCGCTACTATGAGAAGGTGAGTCTGTTGGAAGTCACCTGGATCCTGGCTGCTTGCTTCCCTCAGTCCTGTTCCTCTGTCATTCCAAACACAGCTGCGGACTCCTGAGGTTCTTCCTTCCTCCATCCCTTCCTTTCTCCAATCTCTTCTTCCTCACCCATGGACAGACAGCTCCATTTCACCTCCTTGGTGGGGTTTAGAGAAGAGCCCGCTGTGGAGCAGGTCTGTTTTGTCTGGCTGAATTTACAGATAACGTCTGCAGACCTCATTGTAAAGGAAAGCCTCACAGAGATATCCATGTGACCACAGGAGGGGAATGTTCCAGAATGGGTACCCACATTCCTGTGGCTTACAATAGAAGGGTGTGAGTGGTGAATCACTTATGAAACTAATACACATTTATGTATGTTAAAATACATACATATTCGGGGCACTGTGGCGAATGCCTTTGATCCCAGTCCTTGGGAGGCAGAGGCAGGTGGATCTCAGAGTTTGAGGCCAGTACGGTCCATAGAGCAAGTTCCAGGTCAGCCAGGGATACACAGAAAGATCCTGTCTCAAAAAAAGCAAACAAACAAATAGAACACACTCATCATGAACTCCATAGAGCTGTTTTTACTTTTGAGATAGGGTCTTGCTTTATAGCCCTGCCTGACTTTGAATTCATAGTAGTTCTCCTGCCTCAACCTCTTTAGTAATAGGGTTGGACCACCATCCCCAGGTTTTCATACAGCAAACAGTCTGTTTGCTTTGGGTCAGTTCTCTCTGCTGAGTCTTAGTTGGCTTGGTATTCAATATGTAGCCCAGACTGGCCTCGAATTTCCTTGACCCTCCAACCTCTGTCCCCAGAGCTGGGACTGTATGTGTGCATCATACTGTCTGATTTTGGTGTTCATAGATACTTTTGTTGATTTTCTTTCTTTCTTTCTATTTTTGAGAGAGTCTCCCTGCATAGACCAGGCTGGCCTCCGACTCTGTGGCTCCTCCGATTCTGCCTCCCAAGTGCTGGGGTTGAAGCTGTGTACCACCACACCCAGCCTTTTGATGAGTTTCTTGGCTTTTCTCCCCATTCTTTACCCACCCCAGGCCAGCTCAAAGTGCCCTTCCCCACAAATAGCTTTACATTCTCTTCTTTTCTCCACGTCTGCCCCATCTTTCTTTGGTGGTTCACTTGTTTATTTTTATTTTGAGAGCAGGTCTCATGTAGCTCAAGTTAGCCTCCTGCCTCCACCTCCCAAGTGCTGGGATTATAGGCTTGTGCCTCCCACCTTTCTCCTCTTGTATGTGTTTGTTTGTTTTTGTTTTGTTTTTTAATCCGTGGTAACAGTTCTGCCGCAATGTGATGAATGGAGTCATTTCCCAACCCAAGCTCCTTCCCCATCAATTTGGTGTCTTTAACTCTGAAATGTGATCCTCTGTGAAACAGTGCCTCACTTTTATGCAAATTAATTCATTAAAGAGAAACAGAATCCCACGCCCTCAGCAGCATGTAGGGCTTTGCTGAATCAGATAATAGCTTTTGATTACTAGAAGTCTGTTGAGAGTTGTGACAGTTGGGGTGCCCAGGAAAAAATATGGTCACTGAGTCACTTTTGAATGCATGGGCCTGGGTGACCCAAGGATAGGGAGCTGCTGGTTGAGGTGGAGAAGCTCAGGGGAGGGAGAGCAGGGGAAGCAAGGTCTTGCTCTGTATATGGCATGCCAGCCATCCACATGGACGTCCTGTGGGTCTGAAGCTCAGATCAAAGCTGTGGCCTGGAGAGATGGGGGTGAGGGAGAACTTTGACACAGAAATGACAGCTGAAGGAGGGGTGTCTGTGAGAAGGGTGGCCAGGACAGGAGGACCCACGGCGTTTAGGTGACATCAGTGAGGGCCCTTGGGAGAGAGCAGTGTAAATAGCACACACACACACACACACACACACACACACACACACACACACACGTAAATGAACCATCACACCAAAGATTGTCTGACTGTTCAGATGTTCAAGGGAGATTCTGATGAGTTCTTATTGAGTCAAAGTCTGCCCTGTGGTCATGAATGTCATTGTCAAAAAAAGTGAGGATCACAGAACATAGGCTGATATTTAACTCTCCAGCCTGTGGGTATGGCAGGAAGAAATGACAAGAGGAGCTTCCCGAGGACTTTTGGGTGTCCCATGTACTGGGATACAGCAAAGAGAAGACCTGAAGGATTTAGAAGTACCCTACCCCCTTCCCCTGCCCTTCCTTAATAAGGAGAGAGGAATGTTGACTCTGGGGAGATGCATAAGGGCTGTAAGGGGTGTGTGGCCCATCACAGTGACTCCTCATCCATGAAACAAAACAGAGCAAAGCCAATAAGATCATCTTTGCTATCCTCTGCTTAGCAAATCAGATGACAGGGGATGAAAAGTGTAAAGACAGGACAGGTGGCAGTCTGTGGCTTGCTTGGGCTCCGGCCTCCATCGCCCCTGGTAGTCACCATCTGGGCACCCCTGCCAAGGAGGCTCTGGCCTAATATGAGGAAGAGCTCTGGGAATCCTAGGGGAGAAAGCTCTGCTGTCTCCCAAGATGATGTGGGTCAGGTTACTCCACACAACTTACAGGAAGTCCCTTTTCTCCCTGCTCCCCTCCTCTCAGCCTCTTGGGTCTGGGCCTCACTGCTCCATCCTCTCCAGGGTCAGAGTGAGCAGGCTTACTCCACAGTGAAGACAGGGGCACCGGCTGTGACTGTCACCAACTTGAAGCCTGCCACCAGATACGTTTTTCAGATCCGGGCGTCCTCCCCAGGGCCTTCATGGGAGTCTCAGAGCTTCAACCCAAGTATCGAAGTGCAGACCCCAGGGGAAGGTAAGTGGTGTGCACTGGGAGGGTGCTGAATGCAGGCGGGCTGTCAGGACAAGTGTATCGGAAGCAGCTACAGAAGAGCAGCTTCCACTTAGATAAACAGTTTGAGCATCTTCCCTGGAGCATACTGCAGAGACCTCGAGGCAGCTGGTGAGCTCCTTCTGGGGGGGGGGGATGCGGGGGATGCGTCTTCAGTGACCCAGCCTCTTTCCTGGGCTTCTCAAGGTCACCTCTTTCTGAACTTTGCCCGATCCTTCCTGCTGATCTTCTCTCTGCTATGACAAAGATCCACCAGTCCCTTTCCCCCACCAGGCTTGGCCTGGGAAAGCCAACTTCCCTGAAGGGGAGGGGGCCTGGAAGAGATCAAAGTGAGGCTGGCACATTTTAAATGGCAGGAATACAGGCTGGACGAGGGGGCACAAAGCGGTATTTTGGGCCCTTGTAAGGCTTGAGATAGGGAGATCAAAAGTGCTCAAGGCCAAGTGCTACACAGGGATCAAGGTCGGCCTGGTCGGCCTGGGTGGCATAAAGAAGTAGCTGAGCTGGCGGTACAGGTCTAAAATCCCAGCACTTGGGAGGGGACGGAGGGGAAACCAAGAGTTTGAGGCCAGCCTGGGCTATATGAAATCCTGGCTCGGCTCAAGAAACAAGAAAGAAGGGAGAGGATGGAAGAAGGAAGGGAGGGAGGGAGGGGAAGGAAGAAGGAAAGGAGGGAGGGAGGGAGAGGGCGGAAGTGGGAGGGAAGTGAGAGTAAATTATATCTCAAAGTTCTAATAACAAAGAAAAGCTGAACTTCAGAATTTCTGATCTTGAATCGGCCCCCTTCCTGGTGCTGTTCTTGCCTCGGCCCTCCCCTCCCCTGCCTCCCCTCCCCTCCCCTCCCCTGCCTTCCCTCCCCTTTCTCCCCATTCCCCTTCAGTGAATGCCAGCAGCTCCCTCTTGTTGCTCAGCCTGCTTCTACCCAGCCCTGAGGATCTCACCTCTATCTACCCTGCACAGTTCATGGAAGTATTTTCCCCAACAAAGGCACTCCCCTAAGAGGCATTCTGGCACCAGCTGTCAAGATAAGAATGCTTCCCAGCCTGCTACGTGACTCTAATCCAAGATAGGGAATGCTGGGATCCCCAAAGGAGGTGAAGCGCAGGGAAGGAGACCAGTTCTGGGAAGGTAGACGACAGGTCCTGCTGGAAGGCCCATCCGCCTGTGCGTGGCCTTAGGGCAGGCACTGGCAAGACTAGATTAGAGCTGTGTCTTAAGGCTGGGGTCTACTTGAACAAGTGGAAGTGAGCAGAAAAGGCATTTGCATGGATGAAGCCATCTGAGCCAAAGCCCACCTCACCATGCCCTGTATGCCTGGCCATATTGCCATGGTCCTCAGGCTTGAGCCATTCTCCTCCTCCTTCCTCACCCTGAAGCTGCTACAGCCAGCCATCTTTCTACCCAGTTCGTGTCCAGTCCTTCCCCTTCCTAATAGTTATTCCGAACCTTTCCTTCCTCAGTCACTTCCTCTCCATCCTCACTGCAACTCCACCGGCTGCCTGTATCCTTTCTTCTCCAGCCAGGCAGGAATCTGTCCGCCATTCCTAGTGAGAGCCTCAGGGGATTCTTTCTCCTTAGCCTGCCTGCATCCAAGATTCTCTAGTTCTGCCTCTCCAAGCTCCCCCCACTCCAACTCAGCTTCCACCCCCTTATGCTCTGCCTCTGGATAGCATAGCATAGCCTCCAAAGGGTGGGCTGCTTGCCGTTTCCTAGGGCCTACTTGTGCATCTGGGCATCAGGGCCTAATCTTTCAGTATTCCAGGCCCCCAGCTTCCTCAGGGACATCAAGAAGGAAGTGTTGGCCTCTGTTGTGCTCACCTCCCCTCCTCTCTCATTAAGTTTGCTTACTAACTGTTTATTAACTTACTTAGTTTTGTCTCTCAATCTGGGCCTGTGTACTTCTTTAGTCAGGTTGGGGTTCTGTGGGCATTTGTTCAGTTTCAGAGCTGCTTTGGCATCAGGCAGAGGGTTTGGGGCACAGGTTCCAATCTTGGTTTCACCTGGCTATGGTGGCACACAGTTGTAATCTCAGCACTTGGAAGGTGGAGACAGAAGGGTCAGGAGTTCCAAGTCATCTGAACAGGAGTTGGAGGCCAGCCAAGGCTACATGATACCCCATTTCAAAAACAAAACAAAACATCACAAAATCCCTGTTTGTCACTTGGGAGCTAGCTAATGTGATTTTGAACAACTTAGGTAGCTTTCTTCAACCCATCTCCTCCTCTTGAACTGGAGACAGGAACCCTTGCAGGACTGTTGTGTGAGACAGGGCAATATAGTTCAGGCACAAGCAGCCTGTCTCAGCTACTGCTATGCTCAAAGTTAATGTACCGCTGCTGGCAGATAGTCCACGTTGGGAAAGGAACTCTGAAAAGAGTCTGTGACCTCTGAAAGCCGCTGTCCCCTTGAAAGGCATGTGGGGAGGCCAGCCCCAGCTGCTTGGACTGTTGCCTCCTCTCAGATCAGGCCTGCAGTAGGGAGGCCCTGCCTGCAAACAGAGGTGTTTGGCACTCCAATTGCCACTATGGGCATTGATGCTAACTGTGTGCCAAGGGGTTGAGGGATCTTCCTGGTGCCTGAGACAAAAGTCTCTCTTGGTGCTTACCCAGGAGCCTAGTCCTTTGCCTGCCTCAGCCCCCTGTTTTGTTTGTCCCCCCCCCCAGTTGCCTCAGGGTCCAGAGACCAGAGCCCTGCAGTGGTTGTCACTGTTGTGACCATCTCAGCCCTCCTGGTCCTGGGCTCCGTGATGAGTGTGCTGGCCATCTGGAGGAGGTAGGTAGTTGGTCTCATCCTGGTGACCTCCGGTGGGTTCTGTCCCCAAGTGTATAAACTATGTACATGCAAGTACCTATCAGCACACCTGCCACTCCCCGCCCACACCCCCCCACACACACACACAGGCAAATTTACAGACTCAAGCTCACTGCTACATAGATCCCAATGCTGCCGGGAAACACAAGCACCTGCAGCCCCAGCACTTAGGAGGTGGGGGCAGGAGGGTCAGGGGTTCAAGCCCTACTTCAGCTACATATAGAATTTGAGGCCAGCCTGCACTACAGGAGACCCTTGTCTTTCTTCCCCTCCCTTCAAAAAAGATACTATTGTGGTGAGTACGACCCCTCCCCCACAGCTGCTCATGCACCAGCTGCCGGCGCTGCAGCTAGCTCAACCGTGCTGGGATGAAGGGGATTTAGCTCCTTAACTCATTAAATGTCAGAAGGCATCACTGAGGATGGAATCAAGCTCCAGCTGCTCGGGTGTGATTAGGATTCTCCCAGAGGCACTTGGAGGCCCCCAGCTCTGGCCCCCGGGGAATCTGGAACCCCTTGAACACAAGCAAAGAGGGAAAAGTCAGTACTTGGGTGGGAAAGAGGGGGATGGGGAGGGAAACTCATCAGTCTGAGCCATGCCCCTCCCCACACAGAAGCTTGCAGGCAGACAGAGAAAGGGCGGGGGAGACAGGGCTGGAGCCTGGTCGGGTCTGGCTGAAAGAATATTCCATTTCCTTTGGATAAAGCAGAGGCTTCAGCTGTGTGTACTCCCCACCACTCCCGGGAGCATCCTGCTATACCCAAAGGTCCCAGCAGTTACAGTCTGGGGCTGCAGTAGAGCTAGTGGGTTGGAATTGGGTGCAGAGGAAAAGTGGGCTGGCTGGGGACCCACATCTCAACAGCCTGAGCCACGTGAGAGTGGGGATGGGGGGGTGGGGGTGGGGGGAACAGTGAGTGTTCCTTTGACACTATTTGTATGGCTTTGACCAAAGCACTGGTAGTGAAGGAGGAAAGTGACTGTCCTAGGAGCCATTTGTGCCTAGGTAAGGTGGATCAAGAAGACAGGACAGGCTGGGCTTAGTGGCATACACCTTTAGCCCCAGCATTCAAGAGGCCGAGGCAGGTGGATCTCTTTGAGTTCAAGGCCAGTCTGGGTTTATATAGACAGTTCCAGGACAGCTGTAGCCAGGGCACAATAGACAGACCCTGTATCAAAAAACAGGACAAGAGCAGGGAGCTCCTTCTGTAAGACCTCAGAAAGAGGAGTCTTCCAGGTTCGGTCGATACCCCAAGAACTCAATGTCCAGTCCAGTTGCTGCAAAACGCAAGAGGCTTTAATGAACAGGAAACGTTTGCGCAAACGGGCTCCTCCAGCACGCAGGCTAGAGAGAAGCCCCCTCCCCTGGGCCCAGGTGTTTTTAAAGGCAAACCCACAAGCTTAGGGAGGGGGTGGGACCCTCTGTCCATTGAGTACGTGACCCTTGGAGGCCCGATGGTCTCGCTATTAGGGTCAGCAGACCTTAGGGCCTCAGGTGTGCTAATTAATCTTGTCTGGGCAAACCAGAGTTACAGCTATCTCTTGACCCTATTTACCACCTGTTGACTCACAGGAAAGGAGGGGCAGTGTGAATTCTTCTTATCTCAGGGCCCTGTGAGAGGAAGCTAGCAAATTCCAAGGAACAGATATTGGTTTCTAGGTTAGTCCATCATTAACATTACTTTTTAGGTCTTTCCCTTCCATATGGAGCGTAACGTTAGGTCCATCCACGCTCTGGGCCTGTTGAAAAAGCAGAGATGGGCAGCTGCAGCGAGCATCTCATCCTGACTTTAACTATCAGGGCTGCTGAGGTAGGAGCAGACAGGTGTACTGGACCAGACCAGGGAGACAGCCGTAGACTTCAAGTCAGTGGGGAGAACAGGGAGCAAATTTCCATACTAAGTAATGGATTTAATTACTAAGTAGTGGGTTTAATTGCAAGATTTTCTTTTTAAAGGCTTATCTTTGTTTATGTGTATGTGTGAGATTGATGTGAGTGTGTGTCCTTGGAGGCCAGGAAGACATCAGATCCTTTGGAGCTAGAGTTACAGGTGGTTGGGAGCCACCTAATGTGAGTGCTGGGAACTGAACACTGGTCCTCTGGAAATGAACTAGGCCATTTCCTCAGCCCTCACTGTACATTTTCATATGACTTTGTTCCATGGTTGAAACGATTACTTACATTGTTATTTTTATTATTAAATAAAACTTAGGAGTCATATTTTGGGGTAAAAACCCTATAGACCCAAAGAGCAACAGAGGAATGATCAGCTGACCCTGGCCTTTCACACTTCTGGATGGAAAAGACCCTCACATCTTTCTAAGCCCCTCTCTATCACTTCCTGTGCCCCCCTATCTTATTCCTCCAAAACCTCTATGGCTAAATCTGGCCAGCCAAATGTTGACTCCGTCCTCTGCTTCAAGGTTTAATTTTATGGCCCATCTTGTAGTGTCAGTGAGAGCAAATCTCTTACAACATGTAGTTTTCAGTTCTGGTTCCCCGTTACTCTTGTAACCACTCAGCCTTCCCTCATCTCTACTCCTCTCCTCTGGATGTTCCCTGTCATGTGTAAGAGTCCCATCAGTCATCACTCTAGGTGACTTGAGCAGCCACTAGGTGGACAGCCTGGCCTCTCGGTTTCTCAGGGTTTCATTACTAAATCCCTCTCTTCTGTCATAGCCCTCAGTCATTCCCCTTGGGAATGCTCTACCATCAGGTGCGGAACTCAGTTCTACCTGTGCCTGCCAAGGCCCTGTCCTTGTCACTTGCTCTGTCAGCCATGTCTGTGGCCCTACTCTCCAGCATCCTCAATGGCCTCTCAATGTCTCATGCTCAAGGTGGGAAACATTCTGCCTCACAAGCATTCTCATTTCTTTGCTCTAGAGAAGAAACCTTCCTCTTAGGCAGGATGAGCCCATCTGCTCAGAATGGAGCCCCAGCCCCTCCTACTGCTACAGAAACATATTACTACCCATAACGCCCTTCTCTCCCCCCCCCCCACAAGAGCACTGTGTCTTAGTTACTTTTCTATTCCATGACCAAGGAAGGGTCTTAGTTAGGGTGAAGAGACACCATGACCACAACAACTCTTATAAAAGAAAAACATTTAACTGAGGCTGGGCTTGCCATTCAGAGATTTAGTCCACTGTCATCATGGCGGGAAGCATGACCACATGCAGGCAGACATGGTGCTGGAGAGGTGGCTGAGAGTTCTCTGTCTGGATCTGCAGGCAGCAGGGAGTGACTGTGAGCCCCTAGGCAGGCTTGAGCTTCTGATACCTCGAAGTCCACCCTAGTGACACACTTCCTCCAACAAAGCCACACCTACTCCAGCAAGACCACTCCTCCTGAAAGAGTTGATTTTTGTGAGCCTGTGGGGGCCATTTTCTTTTCTTTTTTTTTAATGTGCCTGCATGTAGATCTGTGTGATGGCATCAGATCTTGGACTTACAGACAGTTGTAAGCTGCCATGTGGGTGCTGGGAATCAAACCTGGATCCTCTGGAAAAGCAGTCAGTGCTCTTAACCTCTGAGCCATTTCTTCAACCCTGGCCATTTTCTTTCAAACCACCACACAAGGCAACTTACAAGAGTTCATGACCATCATAGTGAGAAGCATGGCAGCACGCAGGCTAGCCATGGAGCAGAAGCTGAGAGCTCACATCTGATCCACAAGCACAGAGAGAGAGAGAGACAGAGAGAGACAGAGACAGAGAGAGACAGACAGACAGAGAGAGAGAGAGAGAGAGAGAGAGAGAGAGAGAACCAGGACTTGTTTAGGCTTTTGAAATCTCAAAGCTCCTCCCCCAGTGACAAACCTCCTCCAACAAGGCCACACCTATTCAAACAAGAACACACCTCCTTGATTCTTTCCAAACTATTCCACTGACCTAGGACAAATGAGAATATGGGGGTCATTCTCATCCAAATCACAACACTCTGAGACTTAGTAATTGTATCCGCTATCTGTTGCTGTGACAAAATATACAAGATAGTCAACTTACAAGGAAAAAAGTTTTCTGGGACTCACAATTTCAAAAGTTTGGTCCATGACCACTTGGCCTTGGTCCTGTGGGTGGCAAGTCATCATGGTGGGAGCTTGTAGCAGAAGCAGCTGCCCATTTCATTGGCATCCAGGAAGCAGCGAATCAGGAAGGGACTGGGGTCCCAATATTCTTCTAAAGTGCATGCCACCAGTGTCCCAACTTCTTTCTCCAAGACCATACCTCCCAAAGGTTCCATCACCCCCTTTTATCACCCCAGACTGTAGACCAAGTCATTTATCTCTTAAGCCTTTGAGAGAAAGTTCAGAACCACACTATAGGCAGGATGTGGTGGCACACACCTTTGATGTCAGCCTGGTCTACATAGTCAGATGCAAGGCTGCCAGGACTACATAGTGAAACCTTATCTCAAAACAACGAAAACGAACAGAAATAATAATAATAAAATTCACAGCCCTTTATTACCACGATGCTGTTAGACAGGGCTATCTTTATCATGATTTTATTACAGAGAAAAAACGTAGCCACCCATTCCCACAGCCACAGCATGGGGGATGTTTGGATGCAAGAGCACACAGTCAAATAGCACAGGGCATGAGTCAGAGTCCTTTCATGCCACGATCTCCTGAGACATACCCCTCTTTGCAAACTGCTCTCCAATCCTTCATCCTGTCTTCATGAGACCCTGTCTCATCTCTGTCACTGCTGTCTCCTTCCTTGGTCCCCATGACATCTATCTCATCTTCCATTCCCTTCTGTTTCTTATCCCCTCCTGCGGCTTTCTTCTCCCCAGTACAGCCTAATTATTCCCAGTACCTCCTTTCAGGCTCCCTCATCTCCCTGGGCAAAATTCACAGTCCCTGCATTTGCATTTTCAGTGCTCGGAGAAGCATCCACCAGACTCCCTACTCGTAGATCCCCCCCTGCATCTCCCACCACCCCAGAAGCTCAGATGTCTGAGCCTGAACTTCTCTTGCTCTGCTTGGCAGCGGCTCTCCACGAGCTCTCTGGGCAACTCTTCACTCTTCCTTCCAGCTACCTGCAATCTTCAAGTCCCACAGTCCCGTCATATTCTTGTTCCTCTGTATTTCTCTCACTTCTGTCCAGGATTGGCCACCCCATAGCTCAAGCCACTTCCATCTCCTGAGGGGACCCTAGAGTGACAGCCAGGATCTTCTTTCTCAAACACAAGTTTAAAAAAGAAAAATCATACAAAATGTAAATTGAATCAGGGCACTTCCCTGCTCGAGGTCCCCCAGCACTTTCCTTTGCTTCTAAAACAACAGCCAGAGTCTTCAAGGGGCCAGGAAAGCCTGCCTCAGGGTGCCAGATCCATCCTGCTGGCTCCCGATGGATCAGCCTGTTTGTTATTCCTCACAGGGTAGCTTGGGGGCTTTATGCCTTGAGTGTAGGCTTGCATACCTCTGGAGTTTGTCTCAGAGCAGAAACACCAGGAATGGCGATGGAACTGAAAGGCTAGAGATCTGGGCTTAGGGTTGTCCTTGTGCTGAGGGGAGAAGGCTGTTGCACTGCAAACCACAAGGCAGCAAAAGGCGAAGAAAGAAGGGGAGGGGAAAGAGGGGAGGGAGAAAAGGGAACCTTTCAGTGAGGTGGCTCAGCTGCTCAGTGGCTAAGAGTGCTTGTCATAGTCTGCTGACAGAGTTCCATCCCCCGACCCACATGATGGAAGGAAGGAAGCTACTCTCTCAAATTATCCACAGAAGTGCCGATAATAGCACGCGCGCGCGCGCACACACACACACACACACACACACACACGGGGAGAGAGGGGGGGCAATTTTTAAAAGATTACAATGTTTTTTTAAAGAAAAAGGGGTTGGGGTTGTAAGATGGCTTGGTGAGCTAGGCATTGTAGTGTGCATCTTTTATCTCAGCATTTGGGAGGCAGAGACAGGTGGATCTCTCTCTGTAGATCAGCCTGGTCTACAAAGCAAGTTTCAGGACAAAGAGAGAAACACAGAGAAACCCTGTCTGGAAAAACCAAACCAAACCAAACCAACCAAAGATGGCTTGGTTAGTAGATAAGGGAACTTGCCATGAAGTGGATGACGAGAAGCCACAAGGTGGAAGAAGGGAACCAACTTTTGCAGCTTGTGCCCTGAATAAATCTGAAAATAAATTAAACTTTAAACGAAAAGAAGCCTCCCAGCCGTCAGGACGACAAAGTCCCTCCTCAGAAGGGCACAGAGCTTTTCTTTCTGAAGGGCGCAAGAGGTGCTGTCCTGGGTGCTGATGAAGTGGGAAGGGCCAGGGTTGCCTGATGAGAGGGTTCTGCGTCTCCACAGGCCGTGCAATGGCAAAGGAAGCGGAGACGCCCACGACGAAGAGGAACTGTATTTCCACTGTGAGTTGATTGTGCCCCACACACCTTTGTCTTCAACCCCTTCCCAGCTGCCACCTCCTGTTACCCCAGCAATGAGACACCTTCCCTCAGTCTCTCTCTCTCTCTCTCTCTCTCTCTCTGTTCTCAGTCAAAGTCCCGACGCGCCGCACGTTTCTGGATCCCCAGAGCTGCGGGGACCCACTGCAGGCTGTGCATCTGTTTGCCAAAGAGCTAGATGCCAAAAGCGTCACCCTGGAGAAGAGCTTGGGAGCAGGCAAGCCCTGGACCCTTGAAGTCTGGATTCATCAGGGAGCTCCGCCCACTGGATAAACCCCACCCACCAGGCAACACCCACTGGGGAAAGCCCTGCAACTCCACCTTACCCACCTCTTTTCAGCTAGCTTCCCCCTCTAGTCCTCACCCCATGGCTAGAAGTGCCGCCTCTATGCTGAGGGTACCCTTTCCCAGAAAGTCCCGGGGGCCCACCAGAGGTGTTTGTGGCTCTACCCTATCTCCTCTGTTCCCAGGTCACCATAGGACACCTGCATTCAGGACCTTTCCCAGATATCCTCCCGAGAGGCTCAGTTTAGCCCCAGGCTTTTATGGAACGGCTAGAAGGGGTCTTTACAGTAAAGGCTGGGTCAGACATGCCTGAGGTCCCGACCATGGATTAGCAGAGCTATAGGCTCATCATGAGCCTCAGTTTCTGATCCCCGAAAGGGGCGTGGCATCGCCACCCTGAGGGTTGCTGTGGGAACTTCGAAGGCTGGTTCTGAGCATCATTCTCCTCTTAGCTGTTCACAACTGTCAGTTACCAAGAAGTAGGCCTCACCCTGGAACCTTCACAGCAGAAGTCAGGAAGGAGCTATAGGGCAGAACAGATCTCATCGTCTTTTGACCTTGGCTTTGCTGGGTTCAAGGACCTTTGATGTGTAGGCACATGCAAAGTTACTGTCTCGTGTCATAGAGAAGGAAACTAAGGCCAAGAGGGAAGAAAGAGATGAAGCCCAAGGTGACAGAGTTGGTACTCAGCATGCTGGGATTCGAACTCTGGAACTCCCCACAGCAAGCTGAAAATGACCCATGACCCAGACTCACCTTCACCTTGGTTCAGCCTACCCCATTTGCTGGCAGGACTCTGAGGTGCTGTTTCTTCGCAGGCCGATTTGGGGACCTGTGCTGTGGCTGCCTGCAGCTGCCTGGTCGCCAGGAGCTGCCCGTGGCTGTGCACACTCTGAGGGATGGTTGTTCCGACTCCCAGAGGCTCAGCTTCCTGGCTGAGGCCCTTACCCTGGGGCAGTTTGACCACAGCCACATTGTGCGGCTGGAAGGTGTTGTCACTCGAGGTAGGCCTGGGTTCTGGGTGGGCTCCCCTTCCAGGCTATGGGGTGGGCTCAGGAACAATCTTAGTTCAATGGCTCACTTCCTCGTCAGTGACTCAAGGTGGCCCCTATCTTGGAGTGGCCATGTTGACCCAGAATGACCTTTCCAATCTGCAGTGACATTTGAGGAGTGGATCACTTTCTCCTTGAGTGATCTTTCTCAGCTGACTGACTCCTTGCAGCTCTGACTTGGGCCTCTGTCCCACTATGGACAGTTGACCTTTTTTGTACCTCAGCATCAGAGTGGTAGATGGGGGTGGGTGGGGTGGGGCTGAGTGGGTGGGATTAATGGTCTGGCTGCTGGGTGGCAGGTTTAGAAAACTTGGCAATTGCTTCTGGCTGTCTTGGCTGAGATGGAGCTGGTGGGGGAGGGGTGTGTACATATGCAGAGCCAGCAACTTAGTGTGTCTCCATCCCTGGCACAGGAAAACCCTTGATGATTGTCACTGAGTACATGAACCTCGGGGCCCTTGATGACTTCCTCAGGGTGAGTGGCAGGAGCCCTGGGTGGGAGAGTACCATTGTCATATTTTTCTCGTCCCTTCCTTTTTTTGGGGGGGGGCTTGGGATTGACATTGCTCCCCCTGGGCAGGCTGACCTGCTGCTCGTGCTACACTGAATCCCAGAGAGGGACTTAGTGGCTTCCTGCAGGGCGGTGGCTTCAGTCTTCCCCCATCCCACAGCATCATGAGGGGGAGCTGATGGCAACACAATTGATGGGTCTGCTACCAGGGCTGGCATCAGCCATGAAGTATCTGTCAGAGATGGGCTATGTGCACCGGGGCCTGGCGGCCCGCCGGGTTCTTGTGAGCAGTGGCCTCATCTGTAAGATCTCTGGCTTTGGGCGGGGTCCCCGGGACCGAGCAGAAGCTGTCTACACCACCATGGTAAGGCGCTCCCTTCTCTGCTTCCACCTGCTGCTTCTCCTGCTGGCCACCCCCAGCAGCCCCACCCCACCCCACCCTTGTCTCCATATGTCCACTCTGCCTCCTTCCCTGCTGCTGGTGGTCCTTCCTACCTGGTCCCTCTCCTGTGAGGGTACCACCCCTGTGTCGGCTGGGCTGAAGGGGTTGGGGAAAGATGTGGGGGTTGGATGTGGGTGCTGGTGGCCTGGCTGGATGTGGCCTGCTGCTGGACTCAGTGCTTGCCTGCCCTGCTTTGCTTACCCACCTGTAGAGTGGCCGGAGCCCAGCACTCTGGGCAGCTCCTGAGACAATTCAGTTTGGACACTTCAGTTCTGCTAGTGATGTATGGAGCTTTGGCATTGTCATGTGGGAAGTGATGGCCTTTGGGGAGCGGCCCTACTGGGACATGTCCGGACAAGATGTAAGTGACCTATGGCTCCAGCTTCCTGACCTCTGCCTGTTGATCCCTGACCTCTTAGCTCCAGACCTCTCTTCTACTCCCACCCTGTTTAGAGTCCTCTTTGGAATGATGGTGGTGATGGTGATGGTGGTGGTGGTGGTGTGGATGTGTGTGTTGGACAATCTGAAATATCCTGTCTGCTCCCCGTCTCTGGAGCCCAGGTGATCAAGGCTGTGGAGGATGGCTTCCGGCTGCCACCCCCCAGGAACTGTCCCTCCCCACTGCACCAACTGATGCTTGACTGCTGGCAGAAAGACCCAGGTGAGCGGCCCAGGTTCTCCCAGATCCACAGCATCCTGAGCAAGATGGGGCAGGAGCCAGAACCTTCCAAGTGTGCTGCGAACACCTGTCTCAGGTACATCCTACCAACCCCCAAGCCAGATCAGCCAGCCAAACACTCACTTGTCTGAAAATATTCTCCCAGCCTGTTCAAGTGTGAAGCTCAGCCCATTGATTGCCCAGACAGATGTGACACCCCCAACTGCTCCAGGCACACCTCACCTACGGCACTCAGGCCCTGGGTTTCCCCTTTACCTGGCTCAGCTCTCTACTTGCTGGGGTACACTGACCCACTCACCTTTTCAGGGCCTTTTATGTGCCCACGGGAGGCATATTAGGCCCTGGTCACCTTACTTCCCCCCTTGTCCTTTCTTGCTTCTCAAGAGGGTGCCTGGGTCTGGTGCCACACCCTGGTCTTCGGCTGACTGTGGCCTCTCTGCTCCCCAGGCCTCCCACGCCCCTGGCGGACCGTGCCTTCTCTACCTTCCCCTCCTTTGGTTCTGTGGGTGCTTGGCTAGAGGCCCTGGACCTGTGCCGCTACAAGGACAACTTCTCTGCAGCTGGCTATGGGAGCCTGGAAGCTGTGGCTGAGATGACCGCCCAGTGAGTCTAAGGAGCCAAGGTCAAGGCCAGGGTTCAGGGAACCCAAAAGAACCCAATCTAGACGGGAAGGCCCTATCAGCCCTGGCTTTGGGCATTTTCCTGTCCAGACAAGGGGAGGGAGAGGATTGGCTTCCGTGGGAAGAGTAGAAAAGAGGTTGGGTCAGCTGGATATGCCCATCTCTCCTTGCAGGGACCTGGGGAGCCTGGGAATCTCTTCTGCTGAGCATCGAGAAGCCCTCCTGAGTGGGATCAGTGCCCTGCAGACTCGAGTACTGCAGATACAGGGTCAGGGGGTGCAGGTGTGAGCGGCTCAGTCCTGCCCAAGGACCTGCAAGCTACACCCCCCCTGGGTAGGAGCAGTGAGTGCTCTCTTACTCTTAGGGGGCCTGAGCTGGTTGGTGCCACATTGTCCCCCCATTTCATATTTCCTGTCAACACCTTGCTGACCTAGTGGTCCTCAAAAAGAGGTTCAGATCCCTGGAGAGGATCCTACAGATAACAGTAGGAAGAAGTTTAGGGTGTCAAGGCAAAGCTGGCTGAAGAAGACAGTCACTTTCTGTTGTCCTGCCTCAGGCCCCTGAGTATGCGACCCTGGGCCAGTGGGTGGTGGCCCTTACTTCCTATGCCTTGGCTAGGTCTGTCTGAACCCTGGTGTCAAGGCCCAAGCAAGAAAGTGGCACCGAGCTCAGGAACTGGACCCCCAGGTGGAGACTCCAGAGCTGATGGCTTCCTGCCTTAGGTTGGCAGGTCTGGGTGAGGGCTAGCCTCCTAGTAGGCCACACAAGGACTCGGCTGTCTCATTTATTTTGGAACTGATTCAGAAGGGCACAGGGTAGGGGTGGGAGGTTGCTCCACATTCTGGAGAATGGAGAAGAGGAGAAAGAGACTGGGCCAGGAGTGGTTTCGACCCCACTGTATAGATGGCGAAGTCAGAGCCTGTAATCTCAGAGCCGGGGTTGATGTCAGACCAAAATCCAGGGAGAAGGCTGGCTCTGGAGCGAGCTTGCCCTTCCCTTTGGTACTGGCACTCATCCCTGGGCAGCCCAGTGAATCCTCGCTGGGTGAGTCCCTCCAGGCTGCTCTGCCCCTGCATGCCATGCTTCCTTTGTAGAGTGCCTCCAAGTGCTACACAGAGCCCTTGAAGGGGTGTGGTGCTGAGCGGACCCATCTGCAAGGGTCCTGGCATCTCTGAGAACTAGAGACCAAGGCCATCCTGGGAGGGCAGGAAGGCTGCTGGATGTGGACAGGACCACTGGCGCCAAGCTTTTCTACATCACTCTTGATGGATCCCCGCTCTGTTTTTGCCGTGGTGAAAGGGGCGGCATGGGCTGGGACAGAGCAGGTGGGAGTGGAGAGAGGCAGGCAGAATACAGAGTGTGTCTTTGCAGGGAGCAGAGGAGAGGATTCTCCCTAGTGGACAGGGAGAATGGGCAGGTGGACTGTTGACATGTATGTGTTGAGGGATGTCTAGAAGGCTTTTTAGCTGAAGTCAGAATTGAATAAGGCCTTGAGGGGTAGAGTGTTCTCTCCTTAGGGTGGATGGAGTTATCAGCAGGCTCAGAATCCAAGTAGACGTCTCTAACAGAGAGTATGGAGGCTGGAAGCCACAGCATCTTTGGAGAGTACCCCATAGTGGGGGGCAGTGACTCCCAGCAGTGCCTTTGGCCTTGGCCTGCCAGCAGCAGCTCTTTCCTCAGCCCCCTGCCCCATTCCTGGCTGTCTGCTCCCTGGGCACCTGCCTGAGCTCAGTGACTGCAGGAATGCTGGGTAGACTGGGGTACTGCGGCACCTTTGACAGAACTGGGGGAACCGATACGCCCCCACCAGCTCTTCCTTCATTCTCCCTCCAGGGGAAACTGGCCCAATATCCAAGACTCATAGGGACCAGTGCCCTGTCTTGAGAGATCAGAACCTTGTCCCCATCTCTAGCCACATCAGTCATTGTCAAGGTCAAACTCCTTCTAGTTGTCTGCAGAGGAGTCCCTGGTTGTGTTGCAGGACTTCGGTGCCCAGGGTAGGCCTCTCCTCTGATGAGGAGTGGGGTCCTAGAATCCTGAGAGGTCCCAGGCCTCAGACCTGCACAGGCACCAGCATGATACAGGGTGCTGGGTGCTGGGGACCCTCCACAGGTCTATTTTTATACATGGAGCTTGTTTGCTGGACACAGAGAGGTGGCCTGGAACCCATATTGCCCTATAAGCACCCACCCAGGGAGGGAGGGGCTGGTTGTGCGTAGAGGCTCCTTTGAGAAACTCTGGAGATTTTTTTTTTGTTTTTGTTTTTTTGTTTGTTTTTTTTGAGACAGGGTTTCTCTGTATTGCTTTGGAGCCTATCCTGGAACTCGCTCTGTAAACCAGGCTGGACTCGAACTCACAGAGACCCACCTGCCTCTGCCTCCCGAGTGCTGGGACTAAAGGCGTTGCACCACCAATGCCCAGCAGGAGATGTTTTTTATATTTCTTGGGTTCTATATGCAGTACAAAGTAATAAAAACTTGTCTGTGTTATGGTACCTCTGTGTGGCATTGTCAAACCACTGAGCAGTTGTAGGTGGAGATTTTGCACACAGATCCTGGGTATGTGTGTGTCTGAGATCTTTCTGCTATGAAGAATGCCACTGTCTAGTGTAGACACAGGAAATGGGACTGGACGAGGGCCAGGAGCACATGGGATGCACTAGGTGTCACAATCTGCTTCAAAAAACCAGGCAAGCAAGGAAGTTGTGTGCTGGAGATGTGGGCAGATGTGGAGCTGGAGGAAGCGGTACCTGGGCAGATGTGGAGCTGGGGAAGCGGGACCTGGGCAGATGTGGAGCTGGGGAAGCGGGACCTGGGCAGATGTGGAGCTGAGGAAGCAGGACCTGGGCAGGTGTGGAGTAGGGGGAAGTGAGACCTGGGCAGTTGGGGAGCTGGGGACAGGAAATGGCCAGTTGGGTTTGGGATGTGCATGTGAGGTTCTTGAGGACTGTTTAGGACACGGGTAGATATCTAGGTATGGACCTTGGAGTGCAGATGTGAGCTAGAGACTGACCTCTGGGGTCATCACCACCCAGAGGAAGGTTGAAGCTATCATGGGAGGGAGGCCACCCAGGGAGCACAGAGAGTAGAGGGGAGTCCTGGGGAAGCTTTAGCATTACAGTGCAACTCGGATGGAGGGGCACAGGAGCCAGACTGCAAGGAGCAATAGAAAGGAGAGGCAAGGGGGGGTTAAGAACACTAGAGATATGGCTCAGTGGTTAAGAGCACTAACACTGCTCTTCCAGAGTACCAGGGTTCAATTCCCAGCACCCACATGGCAACTTACAACTGTCTGTAACTCCAGCTCCAGGGGATCTGACACTTACACAGACATACATGCAAGCAAAACACGTTAAATGCACATTAAAAAATCATCACAGGAAAGAGATGTCAAAGTGTGAGTTTCAGTGAGACTCAGATCCAGAGTGGTGGGGGCTGTTAGGGAGATGACATTGGTGACTACATACATCTTCCAGGCTACTGTAGCAAAGTGCTACACACTGGGTGTTCTACATAATGTGCTTATTATCACAGCTCTGGGGCTGGAAGGCCAAGATCAAGGTACTGCTTCCTCCTGCAGACTGAGGGGAGCATCCCTGGGTTTGACCATGGCCATCTTAGGTTTCTCTGCATCTGGTCCCATACCAGCCCAGCCCAGCCCAACAGCCTCATTGAAACTTAATTATTCCTTCAAAAATGCCATCTGCAAATACAGTCATGTTCAGTTATTGGGGTTAGGATTTGCACACAGGAGTTTAAAGGGGAATTATTAACTCCTAACAATGACCTTAACATTAGGGTTGCAGAAATCACAAGAGAAGGATGTGGGTAGAGCTCAAAAATTTACACTGTAGCAAAGTGCTTCCACAGTGCAGGATTGCTACTAGCAGGGGGAGATGCCAGCTAGGTACAGCCAATAGCTGGGAGTTGAAATGGTCCTCTCTGGGCAGTGAGTCTGACCTGGTTTTATGAAGTAGACTCCCATTCAGCCAGGGTGCACCAGACACTTACTAGTGACCAGCACTGGAAGATCTAATTGTTTATTGAACAGCCAATTATAAAAAGAATGAGGCATGAGTCTAGGCAGTGTGGACTCAGAAGACTGTGCCTTGCCTAGTCTCCACTCCCCTGGGTCGGGGTGTGTGTGTGTGTGTCCTCCCAGGGGAAACTGAGTAGTGAGTTCACTGCCCTTGTAAAGCAGGCCTGACCTTTGCATTTCTGCAGACCACATCTCCCCCCCCTGACCTCACCCCCATTGCGCTGCCCACCACAGTGTGTGCCCCTTTACCAGTTAAATTGAAGTGCATGAGACAACGGAGAGAAATCAGAAACCATGTGGGGGCATGGATGACCTCAAGATGCCTACAGCATGTCAAGTGTGGGCAGGGGGAATATTTTGACCAAGACCACTTCATTGTAAGACAAACGCAGAATCCAGACCAAGCTGGTTTCTGAATTGTGACTGTCCTACCCCTCCCCCAGGTGTTCCCTTGTACTCCTGCATACACTTCTTGAATTCTCCGCAGTCAGGATGACGTTCACCCAGGCAACCTTTGCAGTTCATTTGTGGTGTGTTCATAGTCTGTGCCTCCATTCTGATGGTTCTTATCGTGTCACACGAGCAATTGCAGGCATTGAGTGTGAGCTGCACACGTATGATAAGATATTGCAGGGATGGTGATAGCTGGAGATGGTGGTGGGTGGGCCCAATTCTGACTCAATCTGTTCAACTCTCAGTCCTTCCCATCTAAAACCACACACACACACACACACACACACACACATTTTTCTTTTTTGAGACAGGGCATTACAAAGCCCATGCTGGTCTCATATTCACTATGTAGCAGAGGATGACCTTGAACTCCTGATCCCCCTGCCTTGAACCCTCACATTCTGCAATTACAGTCAGCCTCCACCACACCTAGTAAATTGTCTTGAGTATGTTACACTAAATTTTAGGTGCAGGTCAATAGCCATCACATAGTGTAAAAAGGTAGGCAGATTTAGAGGGTGGATATTATGACAGAGATTTGCTTTGCTTTTCAGGGGTCCTGGGGCACCCTGAAGGTGGAAGCTCTGTTTTGCTATAGGATTTGATATCCCTATTATTATTGGAGATGGGCCTTTAATTATCTTGAGAGAATTGTAGCTTCTGGCATTCAAAGAACAATGCCTTGATGTCCTCTCACTGATAAACTACTTCACAGGTGTTAAGGCAGGACATGTATATCTGTCCAGCAAGGGCTTCTCCAAACCCCAGGGACACTGGTGGACACCATAGTGCATCTGCCCTACCACCCTGAGCAAGTCTGGTACCAACTGTCCAGTGGGATCGAGTAGGACAGGGGAAGATATTGATGTTTAATAAGGATCAGGAGAAACAAAATAGGCCAAATAGATGTAAGAAATAACTTACAACACGGACAGATGATCACCAGCAGGTTCCTGGTCTCAAGGATGCCTCTGAATGTACTCCTGTCCCCATGCTGCAAGCAAGAGATCTCCGAACCCCCTTCTCAGACTTAGTCGTTCCCCCCCCCCCTCCAGCCCCAATGGGTAGTCTATGCCACAGGTGCGGACAAGGTGAATATTTCACTGCAGGAAGATGTGACCTCTGGGGCTGCTTTGAACTAGAAAACCACGCCTCACCTCTGGCTGACTGATCTAGACTGCCATACCCTATTTCTGGAGGCTACTTTGTGGTATCTTCCTGTTTTTAAAATAAGTCATTCAGGGGACTGGACTGACAACACAGTGATTAAGAGCACTGGCTGCTCTCCCAAAGGACCAGGGTTCAATTTCCAGCACCTACATGGCAGCTCATAAGTAACTGTACTCAGGGGATCTGAGGGCATTGCAGGCATGTGGTGCACACACACACACACACACACACACACACACACACACACGCAAAATATTCATACATAAAAATAAACCAGGAAAGCAAAAATCACCACCATACTAATCCAAACAGGAGGGTGCCATTTGTTTGACATTATCCAGCCCATTCTTTGAAACACTGGGTAGGGAACTCAACCTTCCAAGCCAGTCCCTTCCTCCCTGAGGAGGAAGGCCTAGTGTAGCTGAAACACCTAGTGTGTACTGTGCATTTTGTTCAACTGAGTTTATCCCGCCAGTGTTGGAAATGGAGGGCACCACAGTAGACCTGGCTCTGGGTAGTGTGGAATTCCACTGGGTCTCTGGGGGCAGGGCCAACATCTGAGAGATGGAAGGGCCAGATGGAAGCCTCAGGTGTGGTCAATCGGAGGCTGCTGCTTCTCTTCTAAATCCCACCACCGACAAGAGGCAACGTCTCTATTCAGTGTATACCCAGCAAGCCCAGCAACATTCCCAGTTATTTCCCAGTCTTCTACCACCAGCATTGCATGCAGCATCAGTGTGGTGAGCTGGAGGAAGGCGGAGCCCTGCCTGAGCCCCAGGACTGTGAAATGAGCAAGGACCATGATGATGGCCCTTCCCTCCTGGCCAAGCCCCACACTGGTTTACTCGGATGTCTTTCAGTTCATCCTCCTTAGCTCCTGGGACAGCTGTGAGTGACCACAGTCCTGGATCTTGGAGTCCCTTTTGGAGGTCAGTGCTTTTGCCCACAGGAAAGGTTCCTCACTCCTGAGGAGGCAGCTGTCCAGGGTTGCCCACTCCAGAAGCTGCAGCTCCCAAACTAACCAAGTGACAACAGGCAGGAGACAACAGGTAGGCGGAATAATGACGTAAAAACCAAAGCAAGCCAAAGTTTATTGGAAACAGCAATCTTTCAGAAGGACGAATCAGCTGAAACGCTGCTCAGAAGACAACAGGAATGAAAGTCTCACAGTAGAAAAGCCCCTCACACACTTCCACCGATAGAGGACCAAAATTAAAAGGCTGTAACAAGGACAGCTGTGCACCCACACCCGCAGGGAGCACAGGACCCCGCTGCTTTCTGCACAGCATCCCTGTGCCCTTCTGCTGAGCCCTCCAGGACAATGCTCCAAGCAGTCTACAGACCTGGTGGGACCATGAACCACAGGCAGCTCACAGTCAGTCTGCACCAGGCACACAACGCCCTCGACTAGGCCTGTGTTCCCTATCCAAATAACTAGAGGTGGGCAGCAAGACACCGGAACTGTCAAACCAACATGTGGTCTTTGATAAACAGAGCTAGACAGAAAGCAGCATTCCACCGCACATCCAGCACCCACAGGATGAGGGGAAGAGGACAGATGTGCATTTCTGCCACCACAGCCCCTGCTGCCACCTGTGCTGCTCTGCCATCCTCTCATTTGCCGGTCCGTATGCTGCTGCAGATCTGGGCAAGGCGGCTCTAAAGAGAGAGAGAGGTTATTTCAAGATGTGCCTGGCACACCAGCCCAGTCAGCCCTTGACCTACCCAAGCACAGTATTGCTTTTAAAGACTGATTTATTTTTATTTTATGTCAATGTGTCTAGTGTTTAAGGAGGCCAGAAGTGGGCCTTGGGTCCCCAGGAACTGGAGTTACAGGTGCTGTGAACTACCATGTGTGCTGGGAGCCAAACCTGTGTCCTCTGCAAGAGCAAGGGCTCCTAATCACTGAGCCGGCTCTCCAGCTTCCCAGGCCTAAATCTGAGTGCCTCTTCCTTCTGTTCTTTATTTGTATTGAAAACTAATCAGAGACTAATTGGAGACTCAAGAATTTCTTAAGTGAGACACTGATGCTGGGGGATGACTGTCACTGTCAATGAGACCTTAGTACTTATTTAGGATTCCAGTTCAAGGCTTGCCTATTCCTGATGTACACAGAGTGGGCCTCCAGCAGCCATGCCTGTACCCCCAAGCTCCTGCCCACACCAAAGCAAGGCCGGCTGGGCTGTAGGTGGGCTATTATTCCTCTTGAGAATTTAAACTAGGAAGAGGGAATATTGTTGACAGTGGAATAATAGAAAAAAGAGCTATGCTGGGCTCTGCAAATTCCCACAAAGGCCAGTGTCAAGGGCAAGCTCCTCCACATGGAGATGAACTCAGGACTCACCGAGAGCTTCTTAATGTTTCCTAGGGCCTCTGGATTCAGCTGAGCAATATCAACCCTCTGCAAGTCACTGGCCAATAACCGCAAGCTCTGTATGGAAGGAGAAAGGGTTAAATGGCATGTTCTTCCAGACTGGAACCTCTACCAGCAGCCAGTGTACCCAGAGAAGATAGCTAGGGTGGAAGAAATGATAATGCAGGCAATATGTGAGACCTCAGGAGACAATGACACCATCAGTGCTCAGTGGACCACTGGCTGGGTTTACACAAGCACAATGCCAAACAGACCAAATCTGCGGTCAGTGCCTCTCCCCTCATGCAGCTGGTGACCCACTCTCTGCAGCACTGAGAAGCCAGGGCAGCATGTTTCAGAATCTCAAGAGCCCAACTGTGCCTTCCTCCGTGCTCCTCTAATAGCCATCACTGTACCCGCCAGACAGTAGCATTCCAAACCCGCTGTACCCACTGAGCTGCTTCTCAAGGGCAGAAGACAGCTGAGGGACAGATGGGTCCTCCATGCTGAGCCTCGGCTCTGGCCGTGTGGTGACTAGAATCCACCCACTGAAGGGACTCTTCAGAGTCTCTGAAGCAGGTGTGGCGACAACTCAGGGGAACGCACACTGCAGCATGCTGGGGCCTGGCTTCCCAGGGTGCCACTTACCGCACCACCACCCACAGGCACAGTGAGGGAAATCTCTTTGCTGTCAGCGAGGGGGCTGCCATTGATCGAGATGTTGTAAATCTGCTCTCTGGCTGCTGGAGTGCGCAGGCCTGGGGTCTTGAAAACCCTAAAAGTTGAAGAACTCTGTGAAGATGGCCTGGCAGACTGAATAATGACATCCTCAAATAAGCCCTCCCAACCCCATCTGGTCTCAAGCTGTAGTTTTCAAATCACACGTTCCTAAGAAGGCAAATTCTAAATTTAGGGAAAACATTTTTCAAGCTGTAATGACTAAACACAGCTGGAGAAAGGAGGCTGTAATTATCAAGCATACATCCAGCAAAAGTCAACTCATACCCATGCAAACTGAAGGCCGAAGCTCCGTACGGGTGGGTGCCCATCACCCACCCACCCACCCACCCACAGAACCAGAAACATATTGGCTCCTGTGCTTACAAAAGTAGCTAAGTGCTTCTAACCCAAGGAACTCTTCAGGATCAATGGACGGTGATTTCAAGACATGACACTAATTCCAGAGACCATCCTTCTCTACAAAGAACTCCATTATGTATTTCTTCCAAAATGGCATTAAGTAAATGTCATTGGAGCCAGTGGAGTATAAATCAAAATGAAAGTCGCCAGGCGGTGGTAACATGCACCTTTAATTTCAGCATTCTGGAGGCTAAGGCAGGTGGATCTCTGTGAGTTCAAGGCCAGCCTGGTCTACAGAGCAAGTTCCAGGTCAGCCAGGGATACACAGAGAAACCCTGTCTCGAAAAACAAGAAAATAAATAATAAAAAAGTGGAAAGTCTCCCTCATCCGAGACAGCCAATACTTGTTCTATTCCCTAGAAGTTACTGGTCGTAATCCCTTGTTATTCTTTATGTACAAGAGCAGCAGGAGCTCGCAGTACACCTGGAGGTGGCCTGGGAGATCTGCTATGATGATGAGGGTCCTCCCAGGGACACACAATTCTCTCTTGGCGTCTGCTATGAACAGTCTTGTCATGCTGGCTTCAGCAAAGGTGCTATCAATTTTCTTCTTCCCAAGGGTATAGCAATAAGCACCCACTCAGCTTCCAAAACCATCTGACCAGAATCAGGGAAGGCTAAAAGCACAGGCCTTCTAGTCACCACAGTGCTCTCTCCTCGTCAGGTAAGGAATTGAAAGCAGTGTCAGGGAGGGGCCAATGTGGGAAGCTCAGCCCAAAGATTCAGGAACATCACCCATGCTACCAGTGCCGTTCACAGCTGGGCTCCACCCAATCCAAGGGCTGCTCTTGGTACTCACCTGGAATCAAACCTAGGTGTCATGCCTGGGGTTGGTTTCACCAGAGATGGCTCCAGTCTGCTCACAGCTGGTGTCACAAAATCATGGCTTAACCTGCAGGTAAGAAACAGCCATGAGGGATGTCAAGTCACAGGTACAAGGATGGCAGCAGCCACAGCAGCAAATGGTCATGTCAGAGGCTGCCCTGCACCCATCCGTCATGGAGCCCTTTGAGTGGCCTGGGAGGGGTGCACTATTTGTATCCAAATGTGGTCACAGATGCTCATACAGTAAAGAACTTCCCCAGATCACACAGTAGAGAGGAGCAGACAGGCTGAACCTGGCAGCCTGTGGCAGCACGGGACTTTCCAGCCAGGTGGAAGAGACTGTGGGCCACAAAAGTAACTGGTCCTCTCTGGGCAGATGGCTAATGCCTTGTCAGGACATGGCCTGCCCTCCTTCAGAGATAGACAGTCCTGGGCCCAATCCCTTAAATTGTTTCCCCTCCTCACAAAGGGTTTACAGTGGAGTCCCCATAAGCCATTTCAGCCCATGGCGATTCTTAACTAAGCAGGACCAGGAGGGCATTGTAAAAAACTAAGTATGGAGTTGGAGAGGTGGCTCTGTGGTTAAAGCACATCCTGCTGTTCCGGAGGCCCCAAATCCCCAGTGCTCACATCAGGTTCCCCAGAGCTGTCTCTGCATCTGTTTCTGCCAAGCTGAATGGACTTCTCCAACAAAAACAAAACAGCACATCTATCTCAGGAAACCATCACCTTTTGCTCCTGCCTCTTCCTTGTGTGGACTGGGTTCTCTTCTTGGATGGAGGGCATCTTTTGACCTAAAGGTGCAATCAAACAACCTGAAGTCACACAGAGCCTAGCCAAGAAAGCTAAAAACAGAGGAAGGAGAACTCGCTTTTGAAAAGAAAAGTAAAACTCAACAGAAGAAGGTTCATCGAAGTTGGGCACAGTGGGACATGCTGGTAATTCCAGCATCTGGAAGGCTGAGGAAGGAGGATAGGAAGTTCAAAGCCAACCTGGACTACACAGTAAGACTATCTCAAAAAACAGACCAAACACACAAGGGCCACTGTAGAGAATTCAGTGATTAAATATTGCAGAACTTGAGGACTTTGAAATAGAAGATGTGGGCCAAGATTAGAGGGAAATCTTGTGTGTAAACACGTGTGTGTGTGTGTGTGTGTGTGTGTGTGTGTGTGTGTGTGCGTGCACTCAGACACAAATGTACATGTGGAGGTCCGATGGATGTTGGGTGTTTTCCCTCTAGTGTTCCTCCCCTTATTGTTTGATAGGCACCCTCTTGGAGCTCACTGATTGGCTAGTCAGGTTAGCTTGTTCCCACTACTTTCCACTATGGTGGTGGGTACTCAGGGTATCCCAGGTGCCTGATCCAGGGACTCCTGTGCAGTCCTCACCTTCCCCAGTCCTGGGACTGCCTGGCAAGAATCCTATTCCCTCCTTGTTCTCTCACTCCTGAGCCCACTGTGCCTCTTCCTGGCCATCCGTGGGGTTTTCTCAGAACCTCGTTTCTACCTCCCCTCTAGTGCACATGGGCAGCTCCCCCTCTGCTTGCTCTCCAGCACAGGCTTCCCACCTGGCGTCAGAGTCTCTCATCTCTCCACCCTGCTGAGCTCTAGGCTGGAATCCTGCCTAGCCTAGACATCCTGAAAAGTACTTAACTCAGCAGGGCAGGCAATTGGCAGGTGCACCCTGGAACCTTAACCAGTGGCTCTGCTTTTCAGGGTCCTACAGCCACTGGGACAGCAACTGTCTAGTCTAGGACAACCAAGCTCCCTTTCCTTGATAACACTCGGCCCATAATCATCCCTACTTTTTTTTTTTCTAATAAGCATTTACTTCAGACTATTTGGACTATGTCCCTTGCCTTCCTTTCTCCCCCCTTCCATTTATTCTGAATAGTTTGAAATATTGACAGCACTTACTAGTGCCTAGCTGACAGGATGGAAACTCAAGCTTGGTATACTGAGCCTTCCATTATCTGGTCTCTACTTCCCTCCATTACTCTCACAGCTTCTATCCCAGCCATACCTAACCACTTTCTGCTCCTCAGAAAGGCTTTCCTCACCTGTCTCGAGCTCTCATCCCTTTCTTCCTCAGCTCTGAAAGGATTGGCTGGGTGTATCCTTAAGCTTCCTCCTCTTCCTGACCCACACACTTTACACCTACATGTCTACAGCGACATGCTATTTGACACACAGAGTGCAATCTTTACAGTCCGTGAACCCTGCCAGAGTAACCCTGTATTCCACATTAAAAACTAATTTTTTGCACAGGTGTTGTGCCTGCATGTATGTATGTGTGCTACAAGTGTGTCTGTGAGCTGTGGAGGACAGAAGGTGGTGTCAGATCCCTCGAAACTGAAGTTACACACAGTAGTGAGCCACCACAGACACTATGAATTGAACCAGAGTCCTCTGCAAGAGGGGTCAGTGCTACTCTTATCTGTACTTGTTTATCCCTGACTTGAATTCCTACTTACTCTTGTGGATCGGAGATTCTTAGGATTCTTTTCTTCTTCTTCCTCCTCCATTATCACTTCATCCACCTGGACCACCTTCCGCTCTGTAACAAACAGTTTTAAGGGTTACTTCTGTTGGAACCTGTCTGCCTCAGGACTCCATAGCACTGCCTTAAGAGTCATGTAAGAGCCCCTTAAGTATGAGAATTTGTTATTTCCGCTGGAATCATTCATTTAACACATTACCTTGTACTCTTGTTCCTCCTAAAATTGTTATAATGTTATTTACAAACAGTAATGTAATAACTAGTAGTGTTTGTTGTTTTGGGGAGGTGTTTCGGAGACAGGGTTTCTCTGTAGCCTTGGTTGTCCTTGAGTTCACTCTGTAGATCAGGCTGGCCCCAAACTGAGCTATCACCTGTCTCTGCCTCCTGAGTGCTGGTATTAAAGGCATGTGCCAACACCACCTGGCTATATCTAGTAGTTATTAAAACGTGTTTTGCCAGGCAGTGATGGCATATGTCTTTAATCCCAGCACTTGGGAGGCAGAGGCAAAGGTAGGCAGATCTATGTGATTTTGAGACCAGCCTAGTCTACAGAGCGAGTACCTGGACAGGCTCCAAAAGCTACACAGAGAAACCCTGTCTCCAAAAACAAAGAAACAATAACAACAAAACCAAAACAGAACAAAACAAATTATCACCAACAAAAATTTTGCTAAATAAATACAAGCTAGGAGCTAGAAAATCCTGAGCAGGGGTCACGTAGAGAAAATTCAGGTACTTAGTCATGGCGGTGGGGGAAAGCAGACTAAACCACCATATCCTTTTTATCAGCCATGACCTTGACACATAAAATATTTGTGTGTGTGTGTTTTCTGAGACAGGGTCTCAGGTAGCCCAGGCCGGCCTCACACTCACTCTGTAGCTGAGGCTGAGCTTGAACTCCTGATAGCCCTGCTTCCACCTCCCGAGTGCTGGGATGACAGGTGTGTGCCACCATGGGTACTCTTTCTTTCTCTTTCTTTTCTTCCCTTTCTTCCTCTCTCTCTCTTTGAAGCTGAGAGGTCAAAGGGTTATAAGAACACTGTTAACCGCTAGCTGGTGACGGTCCTGGTGTGTTCAGTTCCACCTGCTAACCATTAAGTAAGCAAAACTTAGGGGAAAGAAAGAGTGGTATTATTTAGACATAGAAATGACAGTGAAAGCTGGACATGGTGGAAAACATCTTTAACCCCAGCTCTCAGGAGTCAGGGGCAGGCAGAGCTCTGTCAGTTCAAGTACAGCCTGGTTTACATATTAGTTACAGGACAGCTAGGGCTGTGTAGACATACCCTGTCTCAAAAAACAAAACAAAACAAAACAAATAACCAACCAACAAAAAAATACAGAGGGACCTAACACTAACAGACTGAACATGGGGCCAGGCACTCTAAGCCAATCCCATCTTGTATGCAGGGGACGGGCACCTCATTCTTTCTTTGTTCTACAAGGCAGGTATGATGGAAGCTGTCATAGTTAGGAATGATTTCATTTCTGGTGAGTGTCAAATGCCCCCAGAAGAGCAGTCTGCACATCCAGGCCATGGTAAGGTCTGCCCCTCATCAGGATGGGATGCATCAAGATGCCACCAAGCAATGACAGTGACATGCAGTCCAGTTCTTTAAAAAAAAAAAATCAAAACGGTCTATGCCCTAATTCACCCAATCTGATCCCATGCTTATTAGTTATAGGCTGGCTTCCCAAAGAACTGCTTCCAAGCTGGCAGGCTGGCTCGGGTCATGAGCCACCAAGACTCATGACTGAGTTCAATCCTTTGGATCCACATCTCTAGTACAAGAGAAGTTAACCAATTCCTGTAAATTGTCCTATAGTACACACCACCCCATACCCAGATAAATAAATGTAACAACTGTTATGCAGTATGGGCTGTGCATGTGAGATGATTTTGCACAGGTAGATCACTGAACAGAGCCACAAGAATTTAAATGCTGAGAAGAACATTTCTTTGCAATTGATTCTCTTCAGTCCGGCTGATAATGCCAGGGAGAGATACTTCTGGAGAAAGGAAGCAGGTACCAAGGACTGGTTTCCAGCACAGTTACCCCCAGCCCACTGCTTCGTTTCTTTCCTTTCTATCTTTGCTGGGATTAAAAGCATGTACCACCACCTTTCACAGATCACGTTTTATACTTGGCAGAGAGAGGCACGCTAACGAGGTCTGGTCTAAGTAGCCTGGATCTCAGCTCTCTGTTCCACAAGGGGCTTTGAAATGTACCACACCAGGCATGCTAGCACATGCCTCTACCTCCAGCACTGAGGTAAGAGGGTAGCCAGTTCCAGGCTCTCTTGTGTTGCAAACTGAGAGTCCCATTCAAACCAGTAAAGGTCTGGGGAGATGGATCAGTGGATAGCGTGCTTGCCAGGCAAGCAAGCGTGAGGAATAGAGTTCAGACACCCAAAACCTAGGGAAAAACCCATCTGTAATCCCAGCTCTCACGGGTGGAGACAGGGCATGTGGCAAGCTGCTTAGCCAGACTGAGACCCTGTGTCAATAAAGTGACATAAACACCCAAGGTCAGCCTTTGCTTCCACACACACTCACACATATATCTGCACTCACAGACATACCATAAACATACATATACAAAGTTATACAAAAGAAAAGGAAAAGTACTCACTTTTGACAGATTTCAAGGGTGTCTGAATAGCTTCAGCTGTTAACTTGTTTATTTCTGTGATGTCTACATCAGCCTGTGACAAAGCCAGAAAGCAGCAGGCTTAGTCCAGTGTGTACAGGAAATAGTAAATTAAGGTACAAACTAATTATAAACCCATCCCCCCAACTCAAGACCTAAGACTGCCAATAACTTGCTTCTGGCTATGCATTCTTTCCTTGTTCTGTTTCCATGTCTCTCCTGTCATTCCTCAGGGGCAAACCACAATTACTTCATTAATTTAAAGGAGTTTACGGATTTGGTCATAGCCGCACATACGGGTATGTAGGTATGTACACATACACACACACTTTTTCAGTCGTTCTTACATATTGGTAGTGTTGGTTTGTTTGAGACAGGGTCTTCTTACACAGCCAAGAGGAGACTGGGTTTGAAGTCAGGCCTTTCTTCATGGGACACTGAAGTCCCACAAAGCATGACTGACACTGGATTGTTAGATGGACCGGTAGGGAATGCAGAACATGATCAGGAGAATTCTGAGGCTGTCTATATTCAGCAAGAAACAGTTCTAACAGATTAGTGATGTCTACCATGCTGATAAAAAGAAAGTTGGGCATTTCTGCCAACTTTTTACCATCTCTAGTAATGACTGGCAGGCTTTGAACTCACTATCAGTGGCAGGCCATGGATACAGTGCAAGAGTTAACACTATAGCCTGACTGTGAAGTTGGACCTTGGCTGGCTTCTGAGGACAAGGATTTCAGGATTCATCATCCTGCTAACAATAACTCTCTGTGCTTAAACTTAGAGCAAATAAACATAGTTTATATGTTATCAACATCTGCTTTTCCTGCTCAGAAAGGGATGCCCAAGTGACTACCCCTCATAAAAATTGTTATGAGTCCTGAATGAGCTTTACTGCCACGGAAACAGTTGACATACATTGAATTAAACTTGTCCTATGACTCCACTGGAAGGGGACTCCTGGAAGCTTTTACCTGGCTTCCTCTGGTTTGGTTTTGTTAAGACAGGGTCACTCAATGTAGCCCTGACTGTCCTAGAATTCACCATGTAGACCAAGCTGGCCCCACAGAGATCCACCAACCTCTGCTTCCTAAGTGTTTGGATTGAAAGCGTGTACCACAATGCCTAGTCACTTGGCTCTTCTGCTTTGTATTCTCATGATAAGTCATTGCCATGTATAAATATATCTTCTTAGGGAATCACCAAAACTACAACTGCAGTGTTTGAGAGGCTGAGGCAGGAGGATCAACATGCTCAAGGTAAGCCTGGCCACACAGTGGCCTTGAGAGCCCGATAAACCTAGTTAGGAGCTTTGGGGCCAAAGTATCATTTTGTCCCTGGATTTCAAATCAAGGCTAAATTGGAACTCTTTCAATTTGGTGTGGTAACACTGGACTCCCACATTGTATCAGAAGGTTTATTTGCAGTTCTGCGTATCTGACTAATTTAAAATGAGAGAGACATATTAGCTAATGAGCGTGATTCAGCTAGAATGTTTTGAAACATTAAATCTGGGTCTCTGCAGGGGGATGAGTCATGGGAATGTATTATAACGAGAGAGCATGGACTAAGACTGCTGTACCGGCTTCTGGTTGCGTGTTTCCACCCTTGTACAGTGCCTATCCTTGAACACTTCAATAACTGGCTCCTAATTATCTTTAACTTCTGAAGCAGATGGACACCTGCTACTGGAGAGACTGTGAACCCTTAAGTCACTGCATCCTTTCAATCCAAGACTCCAATTTTGATGAACTCATACAAACAATGATAAACTTTTTCCTCAAGAAAATAGGCACGTGCGTACCGTTCTGAGTGATTTTACCATGCCTGGGGACTCTGTGAAGGTCATTGCTGTGCTACTTCCCAATTCTGTCCAATAGATATTTCTTCAAGGACACAAACATTCTATCTCTGTGCTGTTCAACATGGTAGCTGCTGGCCATCACAGATATGGCTGGTGTCTAATGAAATTAATCCTTCTTTTTTTTGCCTCACATCTTGCTGCCTTCGGTCTTGGGGGTGATGCTAGGAGAAGGTATGGAAAGGGCTATGTGTGCTGAGTCTATGAGTCTTCAACAATGTGGCATGAAAAGAACAACTTCTATGCTTCCCAGTCTCCTAGGCTAGGTCACAGCATGATAAGATTTTGTTTTTGTTTTTTGGGACAGGGTTTCTCTGTGTAGCCCTGGCTGTCCTGGAAATTGCTCTGTTGACCAGACTGGCCTCAAACTCAGAGATTCTCCTGCCTCTGCCTCCCAAATCCTGGGATTGAGGGCATGCACCACCATGCTCGCCTGAGCCTAAAAGAGTTAAAGGAACTTAAGCTCTAAGGCTCTCTCCACTTCCCCTACAAACTTCAGGGTAAAGGACCACAAAGAAGCTGCCAAATTGGACCAGATTCCCTCTGATGATTTAGGATTGACAAATCCACCTTCTGCTATGACATTCTGCACAATATGGAACATGTCTGTGATCAATTGTGTGGTCCTTTTCCATAACCAAACCAGGATTCTAGGATGGACACTATTGACTCAACTCTGATACTATCTATTGAGAATACCATCAGGGGCTGGAGAGATGGCTCAGCCGTTAAAGGCTAGGCCTTTATATATACAACCAAATATATAAGAGAATACCATCAGATCCTGGGAAACTCATAACAGCCCTAAGTTCCCCTACCTATGACTCTGATCTATTGGCTACAGATGGGGGTCCCTACAACTGTGCACACCTAGAGCTGCCCTCTCAAACAAACAGTTCGCTTCATGTACTTAGGTGTATGTGCACAGGTCTAAGCCCTAATATCGTCAGAGGACAACTTTGATCAACTCTCCCCTTCCACCACGTGGGCTCCTGGTATCTAACCCAGGTTGTCAGTTGTGGTATCTTTACCTGCTGAACCACTGTGCCAGCCCTACATTTGGCAGTTTATGATAAAAGTTATTACAAAGGGTTAGAGAAAGAGAGTGTGAGGGAGTAAAATGTCTCCTCCCTCTTATACTTCTCTGGCACAGTTTGAGTTGGTTACTCAGAGCTGCAGGCCTCTATGGGTAGACAGGCGCCTCTGAGAAGTCCTTCTTTGGTGACAACTCCATACCTTGCATTAGCAAACAGCAGAGGCTTTCCACCAGAGGTCCCCAGCACCTAAGAAACTCTTTGCATGGGCAGAGATCTCAAGGCTAATACCTGGCCTGGCATGAGGTTGGATACCTGGCCTTCTAGGAGACTGCTTGTGTAACAGGGCAATCTTTGTCTCCTTGGGATATTTCCTTAACCTCTCATAGTTTGCATTCCACCCAATGGTCTAAGTCCCTATTTTTAAGCCTTTTCTTTAAAATGCTCCCACTACCCCCCAAGGACTTCACATATTGATCTCATTAATGTTTATAAACGAATCTGACCATTACCAGTATATTTCATAGACTAACATTATTCACCTTTCAGAGAGAAAGGAAAAACACAAACTTCCCTACCAGATGGTATGGCAAGGTGTTGGGGAGAGACTATGGAACTCCCATGCCCTTCTGCCATGTCCCTCTCCCCACCCCTGGTAGCTCTCAAACCTCGTTAGTTTCAGGGTGTATGGAGATACATAGGCAGGACTGACTGATCAGTTTCATTGGTGATCATCTTACTTTTAGCTCTTCTTTCCACAGGAGGAGGTGCTCTGAGCTCCAATCCTCTGAGTGTATAGTTGAGTCTCCTGGTAAACAGGACCCCATCCAGTGTTGTCTGAGGACTTTCCATATATCTCTTCATTCACATAAACTCAGGCAAGGTTCAAAGGTGCTTGTTATAACTCTTACCACTGTACCCATGGAGTTGCATAGGTTAAAAGGCCAAGTATTCTAATATAAGATGGTCTTATTTCTGTTGTCTTAGGAAATTTTAAGGGGACGTGGAGAAGGGACTGGAGAGGTCAGCAGGAAGATCACAGCTCTAGGCCAACCTGGGTGAGACTGTCTCAGGAAATAAAAAAGTAAATAAAATGGAATAGTGTTTGCATATGACATAAACATATGCTAATATATTTTAAACTCTCTCTAAACAAGTCAAAACACTTAACACCAGGTAAATACTATGTAAACAGTTGCTATGCTGTGGTGCTTAGAGAATAAGTATGTACATACTTAGTGTGGATGCAATCTATTTTTCTTAATATTTCTGACCATGGTTGCTTGCAACCCAAGCTGAGTAACTTGGAGATGCAGGGGTCGGGGGTGTCACAGAGCACACTCCTTTTTAAGGACAGAGATCTACTTGAACTTCATGTATGCAGTATCTGACACAACTATATTTTTTCAGTTGACACAGATAAAGTCCCCTAACAAAACCTTTTCTACAGTATACACCCAATAGTTGGATTTTATGACAGAATTAAACTTACAAAGTAACCAAATCAAAACCAAGATGGTTCACTTACCGTTGCTGCCTCTTCCAGGGCCCGTTTGTTCCCTCCAAGGGCTTTAAAAAGAACACCATACTTAGTTACTATCAGGTCTGAATGATGAAAATCGGCTTTCCCAGTACTATCAAATATCTTTCTCAAACTGGATCAATGAAGCCTTTGGTCTAGAACTGCCTTTCACAATCTTCCTTCCAGTTTGACCCCTCCCTGTTGTAGCTAGTTATTCTACCTTCTATGTTTTCAAAGTCCCTGCTGTTTCCCAAATGTGAAGCTGTCCCCATGACTCAGTGCTTTGACACTAAGTATTTCTTCTGCTTAGTACACTTCTCTGTACCCTACAAATTTCTATTCATTCTTTAAAATTCAGCTCAAATGCCACACTTAAACTGTTAATGTTTCTATTATAATAGACTGCTTCAAATTTGAAGTGCATACATACATATATAGCAAATTACTCAAAAGCTACTAAAGCTAGTTAGGTGTCTACTCCTGCTTGAACTGAATTCCAGAGATAATATCATTTGGTCCTGGTTAAAAAAAAAAAAAAAAAAAAACCTGATATAATAAAAATGCAGACTAATATAAAGGTCTTTGTTAGATCTAGATGAAGAATGAGAGCTTAGGTTAGCTCCTTTTGTTAGAAATCCTCATGGAATCCGTGTATATGGTTAAAATCTTGGGCCTTATAAAATATGAGAGCCTGAGTAAAGTATCTCTCTGTGTCCTAATCTTATCATTCTAAAATTGGTCTACTGTCTGGCATGGTGGCATAAGCTTTTAACACCAGAATTTGGGAGGCAGAGGCAAGTGGATCTCAAGTGTGTTCAAGGTCACTTTAGTCTATCTAAGAAAGGTCCAGGATAGCCAGGGCCATAAAGGGACCCTGTCTCCAAAAAAAAAAAAAAAAAAAAAAAAAAAAAAACTGGCCTACTATTATGATTAATTTGTACTTACTGGCTATTACTCCCATCTTTTTTTGTAGTATTTAAAATTCTAATTCTGCTGGGTGGTGGCAGCACTCACCTTTAATCCCAGCAGTAGGGAGACAGGCAGGCAGATCTCTGTCAGTTGGAGGCCAGCCTGGTCTACAGAGTGGGTTCCAGGACAGGCTCCAAAGCTACACAGAGAAACACTGTATCTTAAAAGACCAAGATTAAAATTCTAATGCTTTTTTTTTTTTTTTTTTTTTTTTCTTCCCCAAGACAGGGTTTCTTTGTGTAGCCTTGGCTGTCCTAGAGCTCATTCTAGACCAGGTGGGTGCCACCATCACTCAGCTTCTATATGAATTTTTAAATGGTCCTTCTCCAATAACCTATAAGCTTCTAGTGTGGGAAGAGTATCTGTTTTATCCCTTACTGCATCTTTAGTTCCTAGCACAGGGACCGACACTCAGCTTTGAAAAATGAATGAACACATGGATTAATGAGGCATGTCAGAAGAATCATGGCTCTTGTGAGCAAAACATCACTTCCACGCAGGAAGAAACATGCACCAGTAGCTATCAGTGATGAAGAAAACAGAGAAAGCAACAGCCACCTAATGGGTGGGAGAGGAAGGAGCCCCCATATTGCACAAGTGGTGCAGTTCACATTTGACTTGCTCGATTTCAAATTGGCAATTTCCGTAAGAAAGAGCTGTTTGAGGCTGTTGTTCTACTTGAGCTATGACAAGACCAAATAATTTTATTCCAAATTTATTCTTTTTCAAAAGTCTGAGTATAAACAAGTTATTTCCTGATGTGTTAAAGTTGTGTGAAATTGACATTTCAGTGTGCCCAGAAATAAATTTCATCATGGCTCTTTTGGAACTATGACAGAAATCCAGTTCCAGAAATATAAAACATTTGTTACCTGGCGTTTGCCCATCCCATGGGTTGGATGACAGTCCCAGGTAAGACTGAGCAGCAGGATGGATTTAGATCACAACCCCCTCCCCTCTCCCTATCCCAAACATGGATGTGCCTCCCCAACTCAATCCTTGGACAGAGAGATGACAAGAAAGAGTGCTGTGCTATGGCCTTGCAATTCTGTCCCTCCTCTGCAAAGTTGTAGGACAACTTTATAGTCCTACCTAGTTCTTGCATCCTTGCTTGTTAGCAGGTAAGTTAGCACAGGCTAGGTCATGCTGGTGTGAAAAGCCCTCCCCCAGCTCCTGAAAGCCTCCCGACATGACGGCTCTCTCTCCCTTAAAGCCCCATCATGCTATCTACCTTATGTCTGCTAATGCCCTCTCACTCAGCTGTGAATGTGAGACACTCTGTCCTACTAATGCTCATCTGAGGGGTAATTCATGTCAGCTTCCTTTCTATGGGCCTGTCATTCTTTCACAAGTTATGACAGACGGCAATTCCCCACGGGTGGTTATGTTAGAACGAGTCCCTACAAAAGCTTTTAAGATAAGCACTAGTCGCTACCAGGAAAAGCGCTAGCGGTTCTTACCAAAGTAGTCGAGCCAATTCATCTCGCGCAGCGCCTTGGGGAGCCGAAGGACCTCGATGTTGTATAAGTTTTCCACCTCCTTGAGGAGGTTCTGTCTGTCGGACTCGATTTGATTGATTCGAATTTGCACTGCGGAGAGATCAAAGCCGATGGATCCGGTGTCAACAAGAGGGCGAAGCCATAGCACCCGCGCCCCAACCCTCCGGAAATTCGCGATGGCCCCTTACCCTCGCGGTCGAAGTCCTTCAGGAAGGAGGCGAGCTTGCGGCTCCGCAGCGCATTAGCCCTGGTGCCCCGGCTGCTGCCCTTCTTGGAAGTCATGGCGCCGGGGTGAGCGCTGCGTCGAGCGAAGGACCGTGCAGCCGGCTCAGCGGCTGAGACAGGGAAAGAGGACGTGAGCGACCACGGAGCAGCGGGAGTTCAGTCGTTGGAGTCTGAGTAGCCAGAAGTCTGCGGATCTGTCCGTACAGGCCCCGAAACACAGAAACCTAGCAGCTCCAGCTGCTCCTCCGCTAACCGCCACCCAATTTAAACTCAACGGATACAGGGTGGCCAATAACAAGTCTCCGTCTTTGGACGGTTCTCACAACGCCCAATCATAACAAAGCTTCTTCTTCATCCCACAACCAATCCTCACAGAGGACTTCAATGCCCAGAAGTCATTGCGGCCTACGTCTTCTTTTCGCGACTTCAGAGTCGCGCTAAGTGGAACTAGACTGTAGGGTTTGCTTTTGAGCATGTGCAGAGAGTGTTAAGCGCAGTGTGGTTTTTGATGTCTGCTCAGCTTTGGCTACCCTGGATTAGAGTTTTCCTGCGGGCTTAGGGGCACGGCTAGCAGTCTCAGAGGAGACAGGACTCTGGCTCCAGAAGCACGGATTCGAGGAGGGTCAGGCCTCAGGGACTCGCAACCGAAAGCGGAAGATTGTCCTGAAGAAAGCTCTTTGAAGACTTCCAGAATCCCCTTCCTGAGGTGAGAAGTAAGGGTCCTTCTGTAGAGGGAACTGGTAAGAGGACCGCCGGAACCCGCCCTCTTGAGAGTCAGCGGTGACAAGACAGAGACAAAGCTTCACCCTGTCACCCTCAGCAGTGTGAGGCATTCCCCCAAGGTTTTAGGGACTGCAGCTCAGTTGGTGACTTTGAAGAAGAAAAGAATTAAGGACTAGCCACTTTAAGAAGCAGAGTTATGGGTGGGAGGGAGAACTGTGGTTGGAATGTAAAACCAAATTTAAAAAAAATTAAAAACATGGAAAAAAAAAAAAAACAGCACACACGCACACACACATGAGTAGGGACTCACCGTGTAACACTGACCAGGAACTCTCTATGTAGACCAGATTGCCTTGAACTCCGAGACCTGTCTGTGTCTTGACTCTTCAGTGCTAGGATTAAATGTGCATGCTACAACGACCAGCCTAAAGTTATTTTTAATACAGGCTTAAGCACAAGGATTAAGAGAGAGACCTAGACAGAAAATAAAAGACATTTGCAGGCTACTCAGGGAATCTCAGAGAGACACAGTGAAGTGGGGGAGGGGGGCTTCTCAAGTGAGAGTCAGTCAGCAATTGATTGTCTTTTTTAATATTTATTTATTGGTTTTTTTGAAACAGGGTTTCCCTGTGTAGCTTTGGAGCATGTCCTGGAACTCGCTCCGTAGACCAGGCTGGCCTGGTCACGGAGATCCACCTGCCTCTGCCTCCTGAGTGCTGGGGTCAAAGGCATGTGTCACAAGAGCTGGCACAATTGATTGTCTTAACATTAATGATGTATTATACTGTTTAGTTGGCTTTCAAGATGTATCTCAAGAGGGTTTCTAAAGCAAAACAAAACAAAACTTGTTATTTCCTTCTTTCTCTTTTTGATAGGAGTGAGTGAGGTGGCTTCTGAGATTATAATCTAATAAAGTGAAACCAGGGGCACTGTGTTTATACAAGGGGTAGTATTCAGCTCTCTCTGTAAGTGGGATTTCTGATGAGATTTCTAGAAGATTGAAGGTTTCCAGCTGGGAAGGGAGGAAGGCCTTAAGCAGTTGGTAATTGAACTGCTAGAATTCTTCTTTGTTGACCAGAGGTATCAACCTGTTTCCAGGATGAGGAGGGCCCATTCCTTTTCACATTCCCCCAGAGTCTCCCCACCTTTCTGTATTGCCTTAGGACTATTTGAAGACCAAAAGCTGGCCTTCTCGTGAGGTCAGCAATGACCCACCCTTGAGCCTGGCCCTCTCTTTCTGGTGCGCTGACTGTTGGTTTTGTCTTCCCAGAAGATGGCCCAAGACCAGCCTTTGCTGGCTGTGCAGGAGGTCCTGAGGAAGTGCTTCCCCGTGGTGGAGGAGCAGCAGGGCCTGTGGCAGAGCACTCTGCAGGGCTGCTCGCCCCTCCTCTCCTCTCTCAGCAACCTGGCTGAGCAGCTGCAGGCTGCTCAGAATCTGCGGTTCGAGGACGTGCTGGCCCTTCGTCCCTTCCCGGACTTACAGGAGCGGCTGAGGCGCAAGCAACTGGAGGCTGGTGACATTGTCCTGGACAAGCTAGCTGAAAGGCTGTAAGAGGCTCTGTGGCCCCCTTTCTTGGTGGAAAGATCTTAAATTTAATGACATCCCAGCCCCGGTCACAGTGGGCCTACAAAAGTTACAAAAGCAAGCTGGACGTGGTCATTCAGGGGACTAAGGTTGAAGGACTGTGAGTTTGGGGCCAACCTGGCCTATGTTATAATTATAAGACCTTGTTTCAAAAACAAACAAACAAAAAATCAGGTCAGGTGTGGTGGCACATGTCTTTAATCTGAGTAGTCAGGAGGCAGAGGCAGGCAGGGCTCAGAGAAACCCTGTCTTGAAAATAAATCAAAAAATGAAATAAAGCTGGGCGTTGGTGATGAATGCCTTTAGTCCCAGCACTCTGGAGGCAGAGCTGTGTGAGTTCAAGGCCAGCCTGGTCTAAAGAGATAGTTCCAGGACAGGCTCCAAAGCAATACAGAGAAACCCTGTCTCCAAACAAACAAACAAACAAAAAAAGCAATTGCTAAAGCAGAAAAGAAGGGGACTGAAGAGAATGTGGCCTTCTGTCTTTGGTATGCTGTAGGGTTAGTAAGGGCTAGAACTAAGAGCTTTCTGTACATTACCTTATATACCTCTGGCTTAACCCTGTTCATATACCTGGAAGAATGAAAATGTAAAGTCAAACTGATTGTCTTGATCACATAGCCAGTGGAAAATAGGGTGGGATCCTGAAGTGTATTTGCCATGTTACTTGGGGCTCTCTACCACGGCTTTGTTCTACACACAGGTGGATACATGTATAACAGTACACAGGTGTTACATTGATACTTTGTTTTATTATTGTTGCTGTCACAGTCTAGCTAGACTCAATAGGCTTGGAAGGTTTTTATACAGTTTAGAACCCCAATTCTGAGCTAAAGGATCCTTTGTCCTTTGGGAAGTTACAACCTTTGTCTTGGTTATGGTTCCTTTGGGTCAGCATTAGCATAATGCCTAGGCAGCCAGTGGTGTATACCTTTAGTTCCAGCACCCTGACTCAGAAAAATAAAAAAACAAAAGAAGAAAAAGAAAAGAAAGGAAAAGAAGAATAATATCTAGACATTGCCAAAATCACTTTTCCTTCCCCCAACCCCCCTTCTAAGATAGGGTTTCTCTGTGTAGCTTTAGCTGGCCTGGGACTTGCTCTGTAGACCAGGCTGGCCTCGAACTCATAGAGATGCAGCTGCCTCTGCCTCCTGAGTGCAGGGGTTAAAGGCGTGCACCACCATCACCAGTGCAAAAGCACTTTCTGCACATCATCATTATTTCTCTTTGTAATGGCCATTCATTCACTGGTACACTGATTGTGTTTGCTGTGCGTGTAGTCCTATTCTTGGGAGACACAGTGAGCAAAGGAGCCTTTATACACAGGAATAACTCACTTTCCCCAGCAGTCTGTGTACTCCAAGCCCACACTGTCATTCAAGAACTGACTGAAAAAGGGTAGTCAAGATGGCTCAGTCCCCAGAACCCACAGAAAGGTGAAGGACAGAATGGACTACAGGAAGTAGTCCCCTGACCTCCAAACACATGCTGCGTGCAGAGTGGGACTGGGGTGTAGCTCAGTGGTAGTGTACTTCCCTAGAGTGTCTGAGGTTTGAGTGCCCTCTGAAACAAAACCTCCAAACGCCAGTAGTGGTTAGAGGAGCCTTACCTCCTCCCTCTTTTGAGATACATCCCACTTTTCCCACAGAGCCACCCTCCTCAAGGTTCGAGATACCATCAGCAGCCATGTGCAGCGGGTGTTTCAGACCTACGAGCAGCATTCGGCTGCACTTGACATGGATGCTATCCTGCAGCCCTCGGCTGTGAGCCCCTCTGTGGCTGACATGTTGGAGTGGCTGCAAGACATTGACAGATATTATCGAAGCTCATATCCTTGAGTGTGTCCAGCCTGCTCAGAGCTGATCTAGGAACCTTTCCTGATTCACATTTCACAAGATCAGCAGGCTATATAGTTTGCTACAGTTCTCTTTAGAGCTTAAACTTGAGTTCTTCCTGCATTTTTTGTTTGTTTGTTTTGTAATTTCTTCCAGTTTAGCTGCCAGGCATTGCTGAAAGTGCTGAGAGGCAGGCATGAGGGAAGGGATATGTGTTGTGTCAGATGTAGTGAGTCCTAAGAGTTAAGTAGGGAAGGCAAGGTAGGAAGGTGGGGTGTGACTTTTATTTTTATTTTTTTCCCCGTGACAGGGTTTCTCTGTGTAGTCCTGGCTGTCCTGGCCTCTGTCTCCTGAGTGCCAGCATTAAAAGTGCCACAACCCCAGCTTGGGGTTGTGATTGTAATAGTGTTAGACAGGCACCCTGAGGCAGTGATGGGTATGACATTTGAGCAAAGGTTTGTAGGAGTGAAGGAATGAGCTGTGTGGGTATTTGGGAGAAGAATGATCCCGGCAGAGGGTCATGGAGTGCAAATGCCTGGGTGGGAGCATGCCCTGTGTATTTTGGACGTAGCCTTGAGGCCTGTGTGGTGAGGGCATGAGGGTAGTAACATGGGGCCTTGGTTTTTTTTGAGAAGGATTTTGAAGGTTTTGGCTGTTATTTTTTAGATGAAAGTTCTCAGATTTTAAGCAGAATAGTGTGGCCAAGGCCTATGCTTAACAGCATTCATGTGGAAGTCAGAGGATAACCTGACAGAATTGGTTCTCTCCTTCCACCATGTGGCTACCAGGATAGAGTTCAGATCATTGGATTTGGCAGCAAGCACCTTCACCCAGTGAGCCATCTTGTCAGCCCCTGATACAGATTCTTAATTCTGTATCCCCTCCTGACAGGCTTCTCTATCTCCAGATTCTCTGTCTGAGCTTCTTCACGAGGTCTAGTTGTGTTGAACCAGGAGTTGTCAGCTCTTCTGTCGCTGGTGGGGTAAGGCTCAGAATCCCGGCCTTGTCCTCCATTGCTGCCTTTACTCTGGCTCAAGCCGCCTTTCAGCTTTCTACTTTAGCTAACGGTGTCGGGACACTGGGAGGGAGGCCTGCAATGCCAAGTTCACTCCGTGCTTCCTCTGCCCTGTACCTCTGTTTCTTCCAGTGGTGTGTTCATCTGAACTACCACTGACGTTTTTGTTTTGGTTTTGTGTTTGCTATATTTTGGTTTCTCTAAATAGTGCTGGCTGTCCTGGAACTCACTGTGTAGACAGGCTGGCTGCCTCTCCCTCCTGAGTGCTGGGACTGAAAGCATGGGCCACTATAGCTGACTAGAACTGCCACTGAGTTTTATCTTTCAGGTCACTTTGCTCTTCTGTCTGTGAGGTCTGAGTTCCTTTTCTAGTAGCATCAAGTTGTGTTCATACTGGTGCTCACCAATTGTCTTGGCACCTGTGAACCCCACCCACCTGGGAAGGTGTACTGATGCCACTTTTGCCTTCCTACACTTCTCTACAGTGGAGTTGGGGTTTTTTGTTTGTTTGTTTGTTTGTTTATTTTGTTGTTGTTGTTTTTTGTTTGTTCGTTTTTGTTTTTTTGAGCCATCCTTAACTTCTGGGAAGGTACCTGAAGAGAAAATACCTCCTCTCCAACATTCACTGGGGAGACTTGGCCAGCATCCAAGCATTGCCTAAGGCCTGGGACCAAATTTCAGAAGATGAATGCCAAACACTTGTACCAGGTACTGGTTTCCATTAGATCCCCATGCTGCCTCCCTTTCCCTGTGGCTTGCCTCTTTGGAGGTGTTAGAGACACCCCTGGTGTGCTCTGAGGCCTTAATAACCCTGTCTTGTAATCCTCTTTCTGTTCTAGATATCCTGGTAAGTGTCTCCTTCTTCCTGGAGGAGCCAGGAAGCTGCACAGTGTCTGGAGATCTGGAGCCCCGAAGTTGAGCACTGTCATTGCCGCCTGGACTGTTTCTAAGTCAGCATTGCAGCCTGATGGACTGAGATACCAATGCCTATGGTAGAGGTCTGGAGGGCTTCTTCTTGCTAGGCCGTGGCCAAGGGTCCATGACCACTGCACCTGCGGCTCTGGGAGGAGGATGGGGTGGAGGAAATAGGAAAGGCAGCGCTGATAAGCAGTGCCCATCTCCACTGGTAGACTTGAAGTGGCAGGAAGGAAAGGACAGAGGGTAAAGGTCCATGGCTGCCTCTGTCTCTGCCAGCTGAAGAAGTACTTTGGGTCTTGGTTGTGTCACTATCTGAGTCCTTAATGGTTTAAAGCTAGGAGGTGGGTCTAGGAGTGCAGGGCAGTAGCAGTGTGTGTGTGGCATACATGAAGCTCTGGATTCAATCCTTTGCCCACCCAAAAGAGGCAGGGATTAAAGGGAAGGAGCATTTAAAATGTTCATCCCTTCACAATAGGAATCAAGCCAATTTTCATTTCCAAAACCAGCCAGCAGGGGGAGATGGTGCAGCGTGAGTGGTTCTGAATGCTTTGTCCTGGAGAGGTCCCCTGTTGCTGTTAGAAGTAACTGAGGCGGGCTGGGGAGATGGCTCAGCAGTTAAGAGCAGTGGTTGCTCTTCCAGAGCACCCACATGGCAGTTCACAACTGTATGTAACTCCAGTTCCAGGGGATCTGACGCCTTCACACCAATGCACATAAATAAGTTAAATATTTTTTTCTTAAAGTAGCTGGGGGCTGGGAATATCCCATCCATCACTGGGGAGGCAAAGATGGGAGAGCTCTGTGATTTTGAGATCATCCTGGTCTGTGTAGCTCCAGACTAACCAAGGCTACATACTGAGACGCTGTCTCCAAAAAAGGGAAAAAAAAAAAAAAAAAGGAAAAAGAAAAGAGAGAAAGAAGTTAACTGAGAATAATGAGACTCCCCAGTTCCCCAGATGCCAGGGTTGGGACTCAGGTGACATCTCATTGGCTACATTCTGAGTTTGGAGTGACCTCTGACTGGTCAGGTAGGCGAACATGCCAGCTGTGATCGTTAGTTTTGATTGTTCATTTGACACATGGGGAGGGGGGTGTCAATGAGGAATGTTCTAGATTTTCTTTATCTGAGTGTGGGTCGTGTTATTTCATGGCTGGGCTCTAGATGGAATGAGAGAGAGAACAGGCTGAGCACCAGCAGGCATGCACTGATCCATTGTTCTTTACCATGGGTGTCATGTGACCGGCTGCTTCAAGTCCCTGTAGCAGTGGGCTGTACACTCAAATTATGAGCCTAATAAACCCTTTCTCCCTTCAGTTGCACTTGTCTGTGTTTTAGGGTTCTCTGAAGGAACAGAACTGAGTGTGTGTATGTGCGTGTGTGTGTGTGTGTGTGTGTGTGTGTGTGTGTGTGTGTGTGTATACACGGAGAGACAGGAGAGAGAGAGATTGGGGTGAGAGTGAGGGCAGACAAGCCTAAAGCAAAAGCTTTCTTCTTCCATGTGCTTTTATGTGGTTCAGACTTGGGCTGGGTCTTCCCACCTCAAATGATCCAGATTTAGGGTGGGTCTTCCCATCCTTAATGACCCAGTCAAGAAAATCCCTCATAGACATGCCCAGTTGTGTGGGTTTTAGTTGGTTCCAGCTGTGGTCAAGTTGACAGCCAAGATTAGCCATCACACATAGTAACAGGAAATAAGCTGAGAAGCAGCCTTGAGTCATTGATCAGAGCCACACTCATTGTCTATGCAGTGGCCACTTGCCTTGTGATCCCAGTTTCCCACATGCTTGTAGAAATCAAGGCTGCCATGAACAGGACTTAATACAGAGGATGGATACATTTAAAAAGAAAGTGGCTTTGTTTGTTTGGTTGATTGGTTGGTTGGTTTGGTTTGGTTTTTCAAGGAAGGTTTTCTGTAGCATTAGAGCCTGTCCTGTAACTCATTCTGTAGACCAGGCTGGCCTCGAACTCACAGAGATCCTCCTGTCTCTGCCCCCTGAGTGCTGGGATTAAAGGTGTCTCTCATTACCACCTGGCTACAGTTTGTTGTTGTTGTTGTTTTTAATTAAAGGAAAACTAGAAAAAAATTCAAACAACAGAAAAGTATAATGCAAAACACACCCAGATATTTTGATCTGTATCTCTTCACTGTGTTTTTTTGTGTGTTTGATTAGTTTGGTTTGTTTTTGTTTTTTTAAGATAGGATTTCTCTGTGTAGCTTTGGAGGCTGTCCTGGAACTAGCTCTTGTAGACCAGGCTAGTATCAGCCAGACAGTTTTGAAATCAGTGTTTCTCAAACTTAAATGTGTGTATAAGTGACCAGTATCTTGTTAACATTTAGACTCTCATCCTTTAGGTATGGTAATAGTACAGGAGTCTGTTTCTGATGAGGGCTCAGGTGATGTTAATGCTGGTGGTCTAGGAGATGTAGAGAATTGGATTCAGATTACAATAAGGAACAATAAGGGTTATAGTTGAAGGCAAAAGCACTTGGAGGAAGAGGCACTGACTGCTGTGGGGACTGCTTCATGGTGACAATGACATCTGAGTTAGCCTTGGAGGGAATTTGACTTGGGGCTGGATGAGGGAGAGGGCAGCAGGGCAGACCAAGCCTGGGGAAGTACAGGCAAAAGCAGCCTTGCTTGATGGTGGAGTTTGCTGCAAATCTGTTGTGTGCCAGGCATGATGCTTGTTACATTTACTCCCAGAGCCTGGCATGTTAATACAATCCAGAACATTGTCTATGCAGAATTCATAGGACGGGATGTCAAGACCCCATCTGTGAGGGCAGATTGTGTAGAATCTTGAGTTTTTGCTTAAGAGTTTGTATTTGGGTGCTAGACAGAGAAATGCATTTAGTATATGCTGGCTGACACAAGTGACCTGAGTGTTCTCTGCACTCATTAAATCCAGGTGCAGTGAAATGTACGTATAATCCAGTTCTTGGGAGACAAGAACTGGGCAGAGAGAGCTTCAGGCTCATCCAGAGATCCTATCATAAAAGAAAAAGGAGGGAGTGTAGAGCAATAGACACTTGACATCTTCTGGCCTCTGAGCATTTGCCACATGCACATGTATTTGTGTTTTGTGCTGTAGATGGGTACTGTAGTGTGTGTGTGTGTGTGTGTGTGTGTGTGTGTGTGTGTGTGTAGCTATGTGCTATATAACACTTCAGCCTTTGAAGGACCCCATTCTATCTATGAGGGTGGGGTGACCCCATAACAGTATTGCTGGTGACTGCCTAGGCATCTTTGCTGAAATACACAGCAGAATCACTAAGGAACATCTCTCAGAATGTACCTGGATTATTAAGTAGCCTTTTAAATGCTTTATGTTTGCATAATAAAGCTGTTTCCTTGAAACAGATACTTATGGTGTTTGGTAATAATTTACTTAAATAGAATTGTTTTTGTTTTCTTCACCAGCTTGGTCTATAGAGGAGTTCTAGTACAGCCAAAGCTACACAGAGAAATCCGGTCTAGAAAAACAAACAAAACCAAGTGGAGCCGGGTGTGGTGGAGTATGCCTTTAATCTCTAATCCTAGCACTCCAGAGGCAGAACCATCTCCCTGAGATCGAGGCCAGTCTGCTCTACAATTGGAGTTGCAGGGCTATATAAAGAGACCCTGTCTCAAACAAACAAAACAAAATCTCAGAGTAGAGAGTGACCTCTGGTTTTCACATGTGCATACATGCACCCTGTATACACATACACCTCCTTATCTCACGTAGGAAGATTCTTGCATGGCTGGAGGTGTGGCTCAGTGGTAAAGAGCATCCTAGCATATCCGAGACTCATCCCGAACACTGAAAACCAAGGAAAACAATTCTGCACTCAGACAAAGTGAGTGTTGTCCCAAGCCTGGGCTCTCAGGAGAAGCTCTACCTGCCTGGGGGAGTGCAGGCTTAATGATGCCTGCTGTGTCTGGTTCTTCCAAGGAAGGAAGCCAGGTACTTTCCCAACCAGCCCAAGCACTGGGTCCTTTAGAGTTCCTTTTCCCTGTGAGGAGTGGGATTGCCACACATTCATAGGAGCAGCTTTGTGTAGGAAGGTCACAAACTGTACAGCCTGTCACCTAGCACAATCACTAACTAGCCGTGAGGTCTTGTCCAGTGGTTTCCCCTGGTTAAATCTCAGTTGCCCCATTTGCATAATGGAGTGGATGCTATGTCCTTCTTGGGTCATAAGGTTCATGTAAGAAAAGGATATGCAGTCAGGCAGTAGTGGGTACAACTTTAATCCCAGCATTTAGGAGGCAGAGGTAGGCAGATCTCTGAGTTCAGGATCAGCCTGGCCTACAAATCGAGTTCCAGGACAGCCAGAGCTATACAGAGAAACCCTGTCTTGAAAAAGAAAAGATAAGAAAACAAAAAAAAAAAAAAAAAAAAAAATGAAAAGACTAAAGCAAAGGATATGTGACAGGTTTGGGGACAGTTGTCAACTTAAGGAATAGGATGCCCTTGAGATTCGTTAATTACCTACTCATCAAAAAGTTCCACTATGTTCCTTTTGTTTTTGCTTTGTGTTGAGACAGGTTTTCTCTGTGAAGCCCTGACTATCCTGGAACTTGCTCCATAGACCAGGCTGACATTGAACTCACAAAGATCCTCCTGCTGCTGCCTCCTGAGTGCTGGCATGAAAGATGTGGTCACCACTGCCTGGCTTGCTATATTCTTTAACATCATCACCCAGTTTTGATTTTGAGACAGGGTCTTCCTCCATAGCCCAGTCTGGCTTCAATCTCCTTGCAATCCCCTTGTTGGGATTTACAGATTGCACTGCCACCTGTGGCTTGTTTTACATTTGAAAATATCTTTCAAGCTATTGCAAGCATTGACAAAGGTATCCCCTGCACCGATGAAGAGGCTGAGCTCTGGAAAGTTTTCTAAGTTCCCGCTGGTGGCCAAGGACATTGCAGCATTTACACAGGATCTTGGCTCTGGTGAAAGGGTCTTTCCTACATCCATTGTCCCTTTTCTGTCACAGCATACCTAACACCAACAGAATGGACCTGGCAGCAACAATGGAGTGTCCTGGCCCCTTCCAGGGTCACTCAAACCTTGCCAGCTTCCCTCCCTTCTGATTTCATGGCCAAGAGGGTTGGAGTGGGTTCTAAAACTGCCTGCCAGAGCTTTATATTTTGCCCTTTGTGCCAGATTCTGGGAGGAGAATGCCAGTTCTTCTTAAAGAATGATGGGATGACCCTTCCAGGCACTCACCCTCCTCTCCATCATTCCTGGAAGGCTCCTTCTGACTTTCTGCAAAGGGCAGAGGAAAGTGGTTTTCCCAAGCCCGGTGCTGGTGGAGCAAACTAGAGCCTCAATGCCAGAGGCCTGGATCCACAAGGGTGGGGGTTGCATTCCTAACAGTAACCCTCATTCTGTTGTATAGCCGCCCCACCCCACCCCCACCTGAGGCATGGTCTTGCTATATAGTTCTGGCTGGCCTGGAACTCAAAATGTAGACCATGATGGTCTGGAACTCACAGAGATCTGCCTGCCTCTGCCTCCCAAGTGCTGGGATCAAAGGCATGTGCTACTGTGCCCAGATATTTTTCTCTCTTTGATTCACGTAGGAAATGCAGCACTGTAGACAGGGATAGAGTGGAGTCGAGTAGAGCCAAGGGAAGCTTTCTAACATCCACACTGCCTCCAAGAGGCTTCCAGGCCCCAGCTAGTGCTCAGTTTCAGCAGACAACTCACAGAGCTCCTTCCTGCATGTAGGCTGTCAGGAGCAGGGCAGTAATGACAACAGGCCAGCTACGTCCACATGCGCCCACTCTTGAGGCCTCTCCATGGGCCCAGCTCCAAATGGATCACCACAGTACAAAGGTAAATAAGAGAAATCCGTGCAAGTCCAGGGCAAGCAGGGCCATCACGAAGAATGTGCGGGAGTGCCAGGGTGGAGATAGTGGCTGATTCTGTGGGAGGTGAGTCCAGGGGATGTAAAATTAGACCCTGAGTAAGAGTGTTACCCTCTGGTCTCCAGTAGGGTGAGTTGTGCGAGTGGGGGTGGAGGGGGTCAGTGTGGTCCACCTGCCATGCTGCTGGCAGGCAGTGACCCTTTGGAGTCAGTCTCTCCTGATTCAAGCGTGCCCAAGACGTTCTTCATGTTCAGAGAGCCCAGACTAATAAATCCACTACTCAATTGCAATCCCCACTGCGAGTTTATAGGCAGCAGCTGACTTTTATCAGCTAGTTTGTTCTTTCATATAAGCAGAGTTTTATGAGGGTCTCCTGAGCTGGCTCGTAATGTGATGAAATGTCTTCAAAATTCAACCATAAATCCTCGGCACCTGCCAAGCAGGGGATGCCGGCTCCCAGGCACATTTGCCCAGCTGGAGGCTCTGTCGTC